TTTTAGGGGTTTCACCTCGGAATGAGAGATAATAAGCTATAAATTGGTATAAACCTTTGTTTTGTCGTTCTAAATGTTGTCTCAAAAGTCACAAATGATACCGTGTCCGCGTCTTAAGATATTGAAGGTCAAAGGTCATAAAAAATGGTTTTTCGTGAATATCTCGCTTTCTATTGCTTAAATGATATTTTTACCTTTAATAAAAGTTGTAGAGTATAAAATTCTCTACAATTTTTGTTTCATGTTTTTTTTTAATACGGTCAACCGTTTTTGAGGTAGAGCGCGAAGAGTGCGCAGCATACAGTCATATATGGTCCAATGCAAGGTCAAGCGTGAGTTACGGTTATCAGTACGTTATATAAAGTCTATTATTTATTAAATTATTATAATTATTAAACAATGGCCATTATTTATGTACTAATTATTAATTGTTGATATTTTATTAAAATCAGTAACTTAATCTATACTTAATATTATAAAGAGGAAAGATTTGTATTTTTGTATTTTTGTATGTTTGTAATGAATAAACTCAAAAACTACTGAACCGATTGCAATAATTTTTTCACCATTCGAAAGCTGCATTATTCAGAAGTAACATAGGCTATATAATATCACGCTAGGTTCTATAGTTGTGGAGCAGTAACCAAAAATGTTTTAAAAACGGGGGAAAAGTATCGTTTCTGAGGCCTTCCGTGGCGTGCGCTGAGCATATAGTTAAAGTTATACAAAAATGTTCTATAGATGAATTGTTTATCTTAACATTATTTTTAAAAAAGTCCGCGAGAGCATATTATATAGTTTGCCCATAACCTGGAGAGCATATTATATAGTATACCTTTTATAGTTTACCCATAACAATCGTTTTAATTATTATAAGATTATTCGTTAGTTTGAAATTGTATCTTCGCAACGACGGACGCACGGTTTTAAGAGTTATTCTGATTTGTGTTTTATTTGTGATAAGTCACTTTCAGAAGGTGTTTCTGTGAATGTTGTACGTGGCTTACAAACTTTAAAAACTGCAAGTATTGAAAGAAATGATGGACATAATAGACTATTTAAATACTTTAAGTTCTGTGAATGTGCATTCCGAGTGTCGAAAAGTGTGCACTAGTAAAATGCTATTGTTGCATCAAAACGACGTACAGAAGAGGGTGAACCTTCAACGCCAAGTGCACCTCGTAAAAAAAGAAACGAATTTTAAAAAAATGTGCTTATTTTGTGGCCAAGAAGCTAATGAAGTAGCGGAAAAAAAGGAGAAGTATAGACGGACAATAAGTAATGTAAGCACTCTAGCATTTAAAGAGAACGTAATTAAAAAAGCAGAAGAACGCGACGATTCCTTAGGAGAATTAGTAAAGGAACGTATACTTTACGGGTATGATTTGATCGCTGCTGAAGCAAAGTATTATACTATTTGCTATACCAAGTTTTTAACTCAAGTACCATCTGCTGATAAGAAGCCGCGCTAAGATTTCAACAAATGTATAATTTGGCATATTTAATGATAAATAAAGATATGCATAAAATATATCCTCTTGTTGTCTTTTTAACTGAAAATATATATTCCAGAATTAATAATAGACTATAGTTGAATAGTTAAATATAAATAATTAAGTTACTGATTTTAATAAAATATCAACAATTAATAATTAGTACATAAATAATGGCCATTGTTTAATAATTATAATAATTTAATAAATAATAGACTTTATATAACGTACTGATAACCGTAACTCACGCTTGACCTTGCATTGGACCATATATGACTGTATGCTGTGCACTCTTCGCGCTCTACCTCAAAAACGGTTGACCGTATTAAAAAAAAACATGAAACAAAAATTGTAGAGAATTTTATACTCTACAACTTTTATTAAAGGTAAAAATATCATTTAAGCAATAGAAAGCGAGATATTCACGAAAAACCAATTTTTATGACCTTTGACCTTCAATATCTTAAGACGCGGACACGGTATCATTTGTGACTTTTGAGACAACATTTAGAACGACAAAACAAAGGTTTATACCAATTTATAGCTTATTATCTCTCATTCCGAGGTTGACCCCTTTTTTTACCTAATATGACTGGGCTACAAGGATATTTTTGTTAGTTCGTTAAGCTTATAATTGCGTCTTCAAAAAATATGACGTCAAAGAATTACTAATGCCAAGTAAAGTACTGGCTGTTACTAACGCCAACGGCCGGGACAAATAAACATGTTTTTTTTTATGGGGGGAAAATCATCGAATGACTGCTCCCGCCCGGGTGAGGCGGGAGGGCGTGTCAGACTCTTACTGACTAAAAACCACCCCGTTCCTTCTCCTGCACGTCGAGCCGGAGCCCCGGTTACCCATTAGGTTCTCCGCGACCGTTAGGTATGACGTCGTGTCGTACCACGATGCAGCGTCGTTTCACGATGCGACGTAGCGTCGTGGGAATCTACGACGCGACGATCGTCTTAACAAAAATACGTCGCGACATCGTAAAGTGATGATACACGACACGACGTCTTTATCCGTCTTCTTAACAACAGCAGGAGCAGGACGCGAGTGTGATCCATTTCTCGAAATTAACTGCGACAATACGGTATTTGACAACTATTCAAATTCAATACATACTTTTTTTTGAACTGTCAAAATGACAGAGGCCTTAGTACAAGTTTGATTAACGTTCAAAGTACCTATTCGAAACGAGTACGCGTTCGGCACTCTGATTGGCCGGCGCTAATAAACCAACCAATCACACCGCCGAACGCGTATTCGTTACGATTACTTTAAACGTAAAACAAACTCATAGGTACTAAGGCCTCAGTTTTTTATGAATTTTGCACGAGATTGTGTATTGTGACGTCACGTTTTTTAGCGTCAAACAGTATACTTATTTCTTAAAAATTTGTTGGAAAAATACTAAAATTAAGTTGGTCATATAGTTAATCAAAATGAAAGTGTGATTTTTATTTAATATTTTATTGTATTGAACAGTCGAATTAATTTAGGTATATTTGATTAAGGAAAGTATCCAATCCACCCTGCATTGTATCGGCGGCGTCGTGCCGTGTATCGTAGTACGGTATGATGTCGCGACGAAGCTTTTTACTATTCTCATTTCTCGTCATAGATTCCCTCGACGCGACGTCGCATCGTGATCGTGGTACGACACGACATCGTATCGTGGTCATATGTCCCGGCCTTTATTCTAAGGTTCCAGCCTTTTAACTCCTAAACATCTTAATCACTTTCCAGACTTTTAACTTCTGAATATCTTCAGGAATAAACATAATTATGCTCTCATATTATCAAGACTTAATAATAATCTAAAAACCACAAACTTTTTAAGTTCTTCTACATCAACACCTAAAGAACTATCGAAAGAAAATCCCTATAGTAAGAAATGCGTCGACAATTTTTAACAGGATAAGTTACGGGGATCAACACACCCTTACAAAGCGCATAGGGGAGCGTCTAAGGGTTCATATTTCGACACGTTGTTATGAGTTCAAGTGCACTGTTTGTAATACAAATACAAATCGTCTGAAGCGCAATTTTATCGCGAGGTTTATGAGATTGTGATATTTTATTGACACTCAATTAGTGTCGTGGTGGCCCGGAGGTTTAAGACGCCCTCTTCTCATGCATGAGGGTGCGGGTTCGAAACCTACCAACGGCAAGTACCAATGTGACTTTTTCCGAGTTATAATGTACTTTCTAAGATTATCTAGACACCACTGACAAACGGTGAAGGAAAAACATCGTGAGGAAACCTGGACTTATAATTTCTAATTATAAGTTTGAAATCGCCAACCCGCATTGAGCAAGCGTGGTGATTAATGCTCTAACCTTCTCCATGTGAGAAGAGGCTTTGCTCAGCAGTGGGCATTTATAGGCTGTTGATGATGATGACTCAATTATTTCTCCATTTTCCGGGTGAAGCGAGAGGGAGTGTCAGACTCTTACTGCAAAAGTACTCTTCTATCTTTGCTTTCTGGCAAAAAATCATGCCAATCGTTAACGCAGAAAATAATTTTACCCCAAACACCTTTATTAGGGTCGAAATCATTAATTTTTCAGAGGGTCGTCTGCGTAAATAAATTACGACTTTGAGGTCATTTATTTTAGGTACAAAGGTGCGAATGAAATATCACCCTGTTTACGAATGCATGGGTTCATGTTATTATTTTATTATTATACGCAAGGACGTTGAAAAAATAGAGGATACAGTCTCTTGAAACAACGACTGTGGCACCAGACTTACACGCAGGACGTACACAAATTAACATGAAGGACATTTTCTGCAAAGCATATTACAATTAATCCGTAATTACGCAGTTTTGAAACGTCAAAAATTGAATTTACTGTCCGTCTGTCTGTCAGTGAAGCAAGGCGCAACGTGGCAACCCATTACACATTGCTGCTGCTGCTGCCGAGAACCTCAAACGGCGAAAGTATAATAGCTTGATGTGCACTTATGCTTTCGAACCGTTTGGGGTTGAAACTTTAGGGCCGTGGGGTCCAAGTGCACATCATCTTTACAATTATATTGTAAGGAGGATGGTTGACACTTAAGGTGATCGAAGGGCTGGCTAATATTTTGGACAAGGTTAAGCATTGCCATTCAACGTGGTAATGCTGTCAGTCTTTTGGGCACCCTATCTCACGATAGCGATGACGAAAAAAATATTTTTGATGCCTTACGATAGCATTTTTATTATTATTGCTTTTTTAAGTTGTTAAGTTGTTAATATTTATTTAATTTAAATTCTTTTTATGAAAGGCAATTAAACCAAAGTTATTTTTTATAACATCAGCGTTGACTTTCGAACGAAACGTATCAATCAAAATCAAAATTTCAACTATCATTGTCAAATAACTTGACATTGACACCTGTGAATGTGAATTTGGTCGAGCGTTGCTGCTTGTTTGTGTTAGCGACAGAAAACGCATTTGAAACATCAAACTTTCTTCATAAATATAGTGAAATAACCCGAAACTAACACCTCAAAATGGCTGTAAGTAATCCGTAATCATTATAAATACCATCCCAACTTAAAACAAAAAAAAAAAACCCGGCGAACTCGAACTTAACCTAAAAATGTAAAACAAAACGTCATGTTTTTTTCTACATTTGGAGCTAGTAATATTAAATTTAATAATTTAATTGTACTTTTCTTTATTCTTAGTCGATAGCAGCAGCTCAAGTGCAGGAAGTGCGTTCTATAACGCGCATTGAACGAATTGGAGCTCATTCGCACATCAGAGGGTTGGGTCTCGATGATTCCCTGGAGCCTAGAGCCGTGTCCCAGGGTATGGTGGGGCAGAAGATGGCCAGGAAGGCCGCCGGCGTCATCCTACAGATGATTCGAGAAGGTACATTATTGAACTAATAGTTGTCATGGCAACGGAGATGTTTTGTTAAAGTAATGGTATTGTACGAGAATTCATTTATTTGAATAGAAACTTTGGTCACAAACGCCCTTGTAGTTGCTGAAACATGTTGCTAGGCGGTTGAACTTGCCTCCACTCCCAACTCAGAAAAGGCAGTTTGCTCAATAGTTACAGGAAATGGGCTTATGATGATAATGATGATGAATTACTCAAACCATTTCACACATCCTAATAGGGTAGATGAGTAGATTATTTTAAATTATTAGACATATTTTTTATATTCTTACAGAAACAAATACTATCATGTTATTGATTTGAAATGTCGTGTGAAGTCACTTCTATGTACATTTTATACGTAGAAAAATGACGTGCATGAAAAGATTGATGACTGTTAATGAAGTGAAAGAGATATGTAAAAATCGTAGTAATTGGCGTTCCTTAGTCTCTGTCTAACCCCATGGGAGACAGGTGTGAAGTTATGTATGTATGTATGTAAATGACGTGTGAACGAAGTGGGGGCTACCCCACTCCTCAACTTTGATTCATCATATCTAAGTATCATTTTATTATACAACAAAATAAAAAACTAATATTTTTTCATTATCTGACTGACGGACTAATTAGATTTTTAATTTTCATACCCTGTCATCATTCCTATTGTAATAAAATTATTCCATCCATTCTAGGCAAAATAGCAGGTCGAGCAGTGTTACTTGCCGGGCAGCCAGGTACAGGCAAGACTGCCATTGCTATGGGACTTGCACAGGCGCTGGGACCTGACACACCATTTACAAGCATGGCTGGTAAGTTGTATTATAATGATGAATTATAATTAATTCTAATACATGATTGAAAACTTCTTCTTGCTCGTTCTTCTCCATCTATCGTCTATCTTCTCCATCTATTCGGAATCTACACTTTGGAACAAGCAAATAGCTTCACTAGAGGACTGACCTACAGACTGACATTTTTTCTTATTATTTAATATATAAATATTTTGTTTTGACGTTCAAAAGTGCCTTCCTGGTCTAATTGAAATAAATGATTTTGACTTTTGAATGTCTGTAATACCTGGAGGTGGCTTATCACTAGGCTATTGAAAGGCAGACATAACTGCCTCATTGGCGGAGTTGTAAAACTTCTCATTAGTAGCACGGAGTTTGGAATTGTGAACCCCGTATATGGCAATAGGCTCACTCGCTATTACATGGGACTCGTAACATAAATAGTGAAAAGTGGGTGTTACATTGTACAGTGGCATTAAGTGCCGTAATGTGCACCTCTGCCTACCCCTTCGGGGATAAAAGATGTGATGTTATGTTAGTCTCTTGAAACAACGACTGTGACACCTGGCTACTATAGACTTACACACAGAATACACACACATTGATACGAAGGACATCTGTCGCGTGACATGGCCCGTCATTACACTTCATATTGTACAGTGTTACATGCACATAATAATGACATTTTGGTGCTTTAATCATTTCGTTTTTCTAATGTTTTTCTGCTGGAAAAGTACTAAAATTAAGTCAGCCATAAAATCGGAGTTGCAGTGGTTTTGGCCAGCTACGGTAGGCTTGTTCTATATACAACCCCTACCTTAGACTACGCTGGGGGCCTTTTGGATTTTTTTTTAACTTTGTCCCACACTACGATTTTCTCCTGTATCGTGGGTGCTGTCGGTCCTTCGGAGTCCCATTATGATGGGGGCCCTGGGCACGAGCAACAAGCCCTTATGGCACAGACGATACTGTAGCATGTTGTTGTTTTATTTTATGTGATTTATGTCGGAATAAAAATTAAAAGTACCCTTAACCGACGAGCATGCATGAAAAGATTGATGACTGTTAATGAAGCGAAAGAGGTATGTAAGAATCGTAGTAATTGGCGTTCCTTAGTCTCTGCCTACCCCCATGGGAGACAGGCGTGAAGTTATGTATGTATGTATGTTATGTCGGAATACTGAAACGCTACTCAATTTTAAGTCGTGCTTAAGTATAGTTCTACCTCTACAAATTCTTTGTAAAATGACAGAGATGGCACAATATTTGAGCACGACTTAAAATTCAGTAACGTTTCAGTATTTCGGCATTAGCTTATAGGAAGCAAACAAAATTACAACTATGATATATTTTCAGGATCTGAAATATTCTCACTGGAAATGAGCAAGACTGAAGCTCTCACACAGGCTATCAGGAAATCCATTGGAATACGGATCAAGTATGTTTTTCACATTATACTAAACTAGCTAGCTCCCGCGCGGTTTCGCCTGCTGCTTTTTTTATTGCATCAACGAGCAGACGGATCACCTGATGGTAAGCAATCGGCGTCGCCCATGGACACCTGGAACACCAGAGGCGTTACAAGTACGTTACCGGCTACGATACCGGGAATTGGGGAGATTGGGGAAGGGGAGGGTAATTGGGCTTCCGGTAACCTCACTCACACGACGAAACACAACGCAAGCGTTGCTTCACGTCGGTTTTCTGTATAACTCCGGTGGAGCCGGCCCATTCGTGCCGAAGTATGGCTCTCCCACACTTAAATACTTTAGAATGATAAGCCGGTAAACAAGTGGACGGATCACCTGATGGTATGCAATCGGCGTCGCCCATGGACACTTGGAACACTAGAGGTGTTACAAGTGCGTTACTTTACCGGTTTATCCCATAGAAAAACATTGGACTAATATTTACACTTAATTTTTTTTTAACTTAAAATAACCAAACCATATTTTGTTTAGAGAAATCGAAATCGCTTAAAAATCATTCATCATAGTATCTTATTACCTTTTCAGAGAAGAATCGGAAATAATTGAAGGTGAGGTAGTGGAAGTCGTGGTAGAGCGCGCGGCAGGTGGGGGCGGCGCCAGGGTGGGGCGGCTGACGCTGAAGACTACTGACATGGAGACCAACTACGACATGGGGGCCAAGATGATTGACTCGCTGCTCAAGGAGAAGGTTTGTAGACTTTTTTAAAATTTACCGACCTGTATATTTAGTTTATATACGACAGTAGTAGCACGGAGTCTGGAATTGTGCCCGGTATATGGCAAGAGGCTCACCCCCTATTACATGGGACTCATAACTTAAATGGTGAAAAGTGGGTGTTACATGGTACAGTGGTATAATGTGCACCTCTGCCTTCGGAGATAAAAGGCGTTGTGTTATGTTATTATTGTATTAATATAGGCCTTTGTTGCCTGATGTAAATGAATAAATAATAAAAATAAATAAGCTGTTGATGATGATTGTCTAACTGTCTACTCTACAGGTGCAAGCCGGAGACGTAATTACTATAGACAAAGCTACAGGCAAGATTAACAAATTAGGCAGAAGCTTCGCCAGAGCTAGAGATTACGATGCAACTGGTAAGTAATAGTTTTTTTTTTTATGGAATTGGAGGCAAACTAGCAGACGGATCACCTGATGGTAAGCGATCAGCGCGGCCCATGGACACCCGCAACACCAGAAGAGTCACAGGTGCGTTGCCAGCCTTTTAAAAAGGAGTACGCTCTTTTCTTGAAGGTTTGAAGGTCGTATCGGTTCGGAAATACCGCCGACGACAGATCATTCCACAGTTTTGCTGTGAGAACCGCACAGTTGTGGCCTGCCAACCATCTATTTGATGGGGATGCATATGCTGTCGTGAGGGTCGATGGCGAAAAGATGCGGCAGGTATCAGGTCAAACAATTCCTCAGAGCACTCCCCGTGGTATAAGCGGTAGAAAATGCACAATGAAGCTACATCTCTACGCATTATGCAGTTATATTGTAACTAGGGTTGCTACCTTTTTTTTGGTATTTAAAGTACATTGACGATTACAGGTAAGAAAAAAAGTACACAGTACAAAAATAAAGTACAATTTATTCTTATTTAGTATTATATTTAAAAATATTTTTTTATTGCTTTTTGCAGTTTTTATTAAATTAGTATCTTTACTAAACAATTGCATCTTTACTAGAAATTGTCTAAGTGGCGCTGGCGAGTGGCGAAATCGATTCAATATAAATCGATAAATATCGATATCGAAATCACTTTAATAGAAATGAAGTTTGCAAAAGTAAAGTATTTTCGTGTACTTTCTTATTCTTATATAGTATAAAGTACAATTACCTTAAATAACGTACAATACTTTATTATAAAGTACGGGTGGCGACTCTAATTGTAATGGGTGGTATTTAATACTTTAACTGTAAATTCCCTTTTTTCAATCATAATATTCGAAATTACCACCAAAAATACTGAATTGCACACTAAATTTGCTCATCAAATAAACCAATTATTATACTATACTGTTAGATCTTTAAAGCTTAGCTGTTTTACTGAATGACTATCTTTTAACTAAAAGTAAATTGAATAATTCTTCGAGTGCAAATAAAACTTTACCAAACCTACCCCATAATCTTAAGTTTGTGAAAAAAAAACTAAACCTAACCTAATATTCAACAATTAGTGTGCAAATCAGTATTTTTGTTTTACGGTTCATTTTTTTTGATATGCAGTCGGTTATTAGTGGAGAAATTTGGTTTGCTTAACTTTTTAAATAGAGGTGCAGTAAAAAAATCCCCTATTGTAACTAGCGACCCGCCCCAGCTTCGCACGGCTGCAATATGCATGTATTAGACAAAGACAAAGACAAAGATTATTTATTTGCAAAAACACGTGTTAAATAATAATACATCATAGAATGCACATTATTAGTTGTACAGATGAGCAGTGAGCATAGTATCAACATGTTTAACCATTTCTGGTGTACAAATGTGGAATATAATATTAAATCCAATTATAACAGTTATTAAACTTTTAAATTGTAACATTCCTATAAGAGACTCAAACCTCCTGACCAGGGACAACAAAGAAAAATTACAAACACTTGTCATTTACAAAGTCATGAACACTATAATAGCATTTATTAACTAGTAGTTTTTTCAACGCTTGTTTGAATAAGTTTAAATTTAATTTAATAATTTCTTTAGGAATTTTGTTATAAATTATGGGAGCCATACATATCACGCTTTTATGCATTAGTGCTGTTTTAGATGGGTGAATACATAGTCGATTGTTGTCACGTCGATTTCGTTTTACTTTATCAGCCAGAGTGGGAAATAAGTGAGAGTTGCTTCTAACAAACAGTGCTACTTCTAAGATATAGAGTGATGGCACTGTCAGCATTTTATGCGTTATAAATAATGGCCTACAACTCTCCGAACTCTGTTTACGGAACATGGCTCTTACGCACCGCTTTTGCAATTTAAATATGATGTCCTTGTTTGTCGAGTTACCCCAAAAAATTATACCATATCTCAGAGCAGACTCGACAAGACCGTGATATGCTGAAAGTAATGCCTCGATGTTAATTATTGGACCTAAGCTATACAGGACATACGATAAACTACTAATTTTTTTACTTAATGCGGTTATGTGCTCTTTCCAATTTAATTTGCTATCAATCGTTAAACCAAGAAATTTCGCATCAGTTACTTCTTGCACATTATAATTATCGTGAGTTAAATTTACATTCAGTGGATTACATAATCTTTGTCCAAAATGCATTATACTAGTTTTCGTCAAATTTATTTTTAAATTATTATTATCAAGCCATGAAATTACAGATGTCAATGAATTGTTAATGTCTAAATTATATTGGTAGATGTCATTACACGGAATTATAATTGTGCTGTCGTCGGCAAACAATGTCATAGGTTGAGTTATTGTTTTTGGCAAGTCATTTATGTAAATAATAAATAAGAGTGGCCCCAGAACGCTGCCTTGAGGAACACCGTAAGATATATCACGTGTTGTAGAGGTGTATGTTACCTCAGTTTTTGTACTTATATTAATTCTATTTATTTCAGTTACTTGTTTTCGGTTTGTCAAGTAAGATTGTACCAATTTCAAAACATTTCCCTTATGCCATTGGCTTCAAGTTTATCCACTAGTATACCATGGTGCACATAATCAAACGCCTGTGACATGTCACAATATATTGAGCATACTGGAGACGATTTATCTACATGAGACAATACATTGGCTATGAATTCATAAATGGCCATATTATAGTTTTGTTTTTTCTAAAACCTTTTTGTTCATTGCAAAGAATATTATTTTTCTCTAAATATGTGTTCATTTCACTGTACAGATATTTTTCAAATATTTTAGCAAATATTGGTATAAGTGCAATCGGTCTATAGTTTTCTAGTGTTTGTCTATTCCCTTTTTTGAAAAGAGGTTTAATGATTGTTGTTTTAAGCTGTGTTGGAAATATTCCCTTCGCAATGCATAGGTTTAGTATATGACTCAGATGTTGGGAGATGGTTTCATTTACAGATTTTATTATTTTCGTGGAAATACTGTCATGTCCCACACTATTTGTATTTTTTAAACTTTTAATGATTTTATTAACCTGTTGCGCCGAAACAGGTGCAAGAAACATTGAGTTAAGAGGACGGTTAATCAAATTTGTCACATTTTTTTCCAGCTCCATAAATAGATTTCACTTTTTCAATAAAATAATCATTAAATAAATTTGCTAAATCTTTTGGATTTGTAACATACTTAGTGTCATTGATTTTTATATTTTTGATAGTTTCTTTTGGCACATTAAGTCGCATTTTGTTTATTATTCGCCATGCCGTTTTACATTTATTATGTGACGTTTTAATATTATAGTTATTTTGTGCTCTTTTTGTTAATGTTACGATTTTTTTAAACAGTTTACAATAACTTTTATATTTATCCTTATTTTCTTCAGTAGGATTAAGCCTGAAATTCCACAGCAGAGCTTTTTTTCTTCTACTACATATCTTCACTCCACGCGATATCCATTTAGGTTTACTGTAGACTTTCATTAAAAATTTCCGTTTAGGAAAGCAAAGGTCATAAATAAGTTTAAAATCATCAATAAAGGTCTGATATGCTATGTTTGGGTCATCAGTGTGGTAAATGTTTGAAAATGACAAGCTCTTTATGTATGACTGAAACTTTTTAACATTATCCAAATTGAAATCATGTTTTTCAATGTACCAATATTGTAACAGTGGTATTTTTTCAATGGGAAGTTCAACTAATTGTGCTGTATGGTCAGAAAGGCCAAGTTCCAGGATTTCAGTCCTACATTTTGTTTTGAAATTATGAGCAAAGTTATCAATACAAGTTTGACTAGCAAGTCTCGTCGGTTTACGTAGTGTTAAATTAAGATTGTAACTAAACAATAAACATTCAAAGTCAAGCGTAACATTATTATTTTTTAAGAATGTCAATATTGAAATCACCTGCAATTAAAATATTTTTAAAATTACGATTAGAAATATATGTCAAAAGTTTTTCAAGTCTATTAAAGAAGGTATATAAATTATTTTGATTTGGCACTCTATACACGCAAATAATTACAGTTTTATAGTCAAGTAGTTCCACAGCACTACATTCAAACACACAATCCAAACAAAAATCTTTAATGTCTGTTTGCTCTCTAAAATTATGTCCATTTTTTAATAAAATACATGTACCCCCTCTTTTACTATTACTACGACTGTAAGATGAAGCTAATGTATAGTTTGGCAGATTTAAGACCTTCTCATGACCAGTCATCATAAAATGCTCAGTTATACATATAACATCAATGAGTTTATTTTTTTTTCTTAGTTCCTCCAAACCCACAAGTAGTGCATCTGATTTATTTAATAGCCCAGCAATATTCTGATGAAGCACGTTTACGTGGGTTTCAGAGAAAAAACTGTGTTTCAGTGGAATTGTCGTCAACATTAATTGTGTTTTTCGAAATGTCATAATTACTATAACAGTCAAATGCAGTTGCAGTCCCTGAACCGCCGTCAATAATAGGTACAGAATCCACAACATTTATAATTTGTTTTTGTTCATTGTCGTTTCTGCTATTTGTAGCATCATATGTGCAAACTGTTTGTGTCGAAGTATTAACCATGATTTTCCTTAAATTAGACCCCTTAATGTCATTATATGTTGCTAGCTTTGATTGGTAATCTATGCGTAATATTTCTCTTAACCAAGATCTAGATAGGTTAAGGATGAAATTAATGCCTCTTGGTAGATATCTTTGATAATTTAAGTATAGGTAGTATACATGTTCAAAACTGTTACACACAAACTTTAATTCATAATTAAGCTTTTTTACATTTAAATATTTATTATATGGAACTTCAGTCACAATCACATTAGTGTTTGTGTTAGTTTCAAGAAATTTCCTTATATTAAATTTGAATTCACTGGGATTTACATCATTTGTTCCGCCCGATACAATAATAAAGTCATGCTTAGACAGAGTCCCTATTTCATCTTTATAATTGTCCAAAACATCACGTAGTCTGGCACGTATTTTACATATAAACCTTCCTTAAGAATCACTATATCTATTAAAATAATCAAAATATATCGCATCAAAATCCGTTGCGTAGTTTTAAAGATCTAAGCATTCATAGGGACAGACAGACAGCGGATAGCGACTTTGTTTTATACTATGTATTTTTCCATACAATTACAGCAACTACCCTATTAGGGTATTTAAAAGTAGTATTATACAATATAAATGTTCCCGTCCAGGCCAACAAGCTCGTTTCGTGCAGTGCCCAGAGGGCGAGCTACAGAAGCGCAAGGAAGTGGTCCACACCGTAACACTGCATGAGATAGACGTCATCAACTCGCGAACACACGGATTCCTGGCACTATTCTCTGGTAAGTTCAAAGGACAATGCCAGGTGCTCAGTACATCTTTGACCCATTATATTTTTTTTTTTTTAAGGGGCGAAAATCATCGAATGACTGCTCCCGCCTGGGTGAGGCGGAAGGGAGTGTCAGACTCTTACTGACTAAAAACCACCCCGTTCCTTCTCCTGCACGTCGAGCCGGAGCCCCGGTAACCCGTTAGGTTCTCCGCGACTGACCCACTATATTAGAAGTCATGTACAAGTATGCAGTATTCAGAATCGTGTTGTGTATTAATTACCGATACCTAAACATTTGTCCTGAAACCTGTAAAACTTGCGGTTTTTGTTTAAAACACAAAACAATCATGATAAATAACGCGAAAACAACGGAAACGCAGAGAGCGAATGAAACATAATATTGACACTGACAGCTGACAGCTGACGAGCGCTTCAAAACGTTTCGTTACACAAAAAATCATAACTAATGATAGTAGTCGTTACTTTTATATTTTCGTGATTTTATCTGTAATTATTAATAAATAAATAAATGTTAAACATAATTATACTTTTGAAATAATATTTTATGTATAATTATATCTTTTTTTACAGTTACTTACTTTTTTATTTTCATAGTTTCGTACAAGCGATGCGTATGATGTAACGCAAGTAGTCATTAGACAATATGGAATACGCATTGCAAAAGTATGTCCGGGATTGAACTTCTTTTTTTATTAAATTGTAAACCGCAAGTTTAAAAATAAAGAGATTTATTGTGAAAAGGTTCCTTATTCGTCAAAATTATTTTCATCTTTTTACTTTTTTTGTAAATGATAGTATGACTGGGTCAGGATCTGGCATTGTCATTTATACTTGTATCGCTAACAACATTGGCCGAGTGGTCGCAAGTGCGACTGCCGGGCCAGAGGTCTCTCTGAAAAATACCTTATAATATTTTATACCACTTAGAAATAGAACCTTAGACTAATTCAATATGATACCCAATAGGGCTGATGCCGATACGGAGCCGCGGAGAACTTAACGGGTTACCGAGGCTCCGGCTCGAAGCACAGGAGTAGGAATGGGTTGGTTTTTAGTCAGTAAGAGTCTGACACTCCCTCCCGCCTCACCCAGACGGGAGCAGTCATTCGATGATTTTCGCTCCTAAAAAATAAGACTAACACAATATAATTTTCGATTAACAGGTGACACGGGTGAGATCAAGTCTGAGATCCGCGAACAGATCAACGGCAAGGTGGCGGAGTGGCGCGAGGAGGGGAAGGCCGAGATGATACCCGGGGTACTGTTCATTGATGAGGTAAGCTAAAGATTGATATACCCCGTGAAATCTATTTCGTTTCCGTCCCGCGGCAAAACAACTTGCCATAAGGAGTACTTTCGATGTATAAAATAAACACAAAACAATAGAGATGTCATTTCTTTAGTTTAAAATCTAGAAGTAAACTTGTAGGCACTATTCGCATCGCACGTGCCACCCGACGAGAAATACCTCTTCGAGAATGACATGGCGTGATGTTTTGATAATGTACTGTAATGAGTTCGTATGCGCTTTCGAAGTTTGCTTTTTGCAATGGTTCACCAGTTATTTTTTGTTCTAAACATTTTATTTCTTTGTAAAACTATTGTATTACCGAGACAGAACCATTTTACTTCGGGACGAAAACGATATAGATTTCACGGTGTACATGCCATTTCAAGTCTTTAATAACGCAGGTATTAGCGTATTAGGTCATGGCCGCACTAGAGCGGATTTTAATAATTCGCCTTAGTACGGCGGGCGAATAACTGTGCCCATTTCAATTAAAATAAAATTTAACTCGATTAAAACCGCCGCGGCTGCCCTAGTCTGGAAGGATTTTTACTGGTACCTAATTTCAATATGTTCTTTGTAAAATCATCAACAGCCTATAAATGCCCACTGCTGACCAAAGGCCTTCTTTCACACGGAGAAGGTTTGAGCATTATAATCACCACGCTTCAATGCGGGTTGGCGATTTCAAATTTAAATTAGAAATTATAAGTCCAGGTTTCCTCACGATGTTTTCCTTCACCGTTTGTCATAACATAACATAACATCACGCCTTTTATCCCCGAAGGGTTAGGCAGAGGGGCACATTATACCACTACAATGTAACACCCACTTTTCACTATTTATGTTATGAGTCCCATGTAATAGGGGGTGAGCCTATTGCCATATACCGGGCACAATTCCAGACTCCGTGCTACTACTGAGAATATTTAAAAACCCAGTAATACTTTGCCCGACCTGGGAATCGAACCCGAGACCCCTTGCCCGGCAGTCGCACTTACGACCACTCGGCCAACGAGGCAGTCAAAATAATCTTGTGGTGTCTAAATAATCTTAGAAAGTGCATATAACTCGGGAAAAGTCATATTAGCACTTGTCAGGTTTCCAACCAGCGCACTCATGCTTAAGAAGCGGGCGACTAAACCTCCAAACGACCACGAAATTTATTTTATTAAACAATAAGCAAAATATTCAAAATACCTTTATTTTTCTAGGCACACATGCTGGACATAGAATGCTTCTCCTACCTCAACCGGGCACTGGAATCCGAGACCGCGCCAGTAGTCATAATGGCGACGAACCGCGGGATCACAAGGATCCGCGGCACTAACTATAAGTCCCCACACGGGATCCCCCTGGATCTCCTCGACAGGATGATCATAGTCCCCACCTCGCCTTACTCTCATCAGGAGCTGAGAGAGATCTTGAACATTCGGTTAGTAGATATTTTATTATACGATTTTTACAAAGTTAATTTCATACAATTGGAAGTGTGGGAGAGCCATGCTTCGGCACTGCTGTCCCAGCTCGACCGGAGTGATACCACCGACGAACTGGACACCATACTGATAACCGACTGTCAAGTCGTGTGAGTGAGGTTATCGGAGGCCCAATCACCTCTTCTCCAATCTCCCCAATCCCTGAATCCCCAACAATCCCCAAGTTCCTTTTTTTTTAATAGGAGGCAAACGAGCACACGGATCACCTGTTGGTAAGCAATCAGCGTCGCCTATGGACACCTGCAACACCAGAGGAGTCACAGATGCGTTGCCAGCCTTTTAAAAAGGAATACGCTCTTTCTCTTTCTTTCTTTTCCTAATCCCCAAAAGGCCGGTAATGCACTTGTTAACGCCTCCGGTGTTCCATGTGTCCATGGGCGACGCCGATTGCTTACCATCAGGTGATCCGTCTGATCGATTACCGGATGGATGGATGGATAGAAAAACATCACAGAAATTCCAACCTGACAAACTTTTTCATACTTAATCTCAGTATTCTTTTCATGACTAATAGTGACACCATTTTGAATCAAAATGACAACGAAAAAAATTTATTTACTCCAAACGTTATTTGACTGCACGGTTGGTGCGGTGGCTGGGCAACCGGCGGCCGTGCAACGTGTCGCGGGTACGATTCCCGCACAGAACAACTCTTTGTGTGTTCCACAAATTGTTGTTCCGGGTCTGGGTGTCATGTGTATGTGAACTTGTATGTTTGTAAATGCACACACGACACAGGAGAATATCCTTATGTGGAGCAACGTTTTTTTAAAATTAAAAAAAAAAATACTGCCTCGCTGGCCTAGTGGTCACAATTGCGCCTGCCGGGTCTCAGGTTCGATTCCCGGGTCGGGTAAAGTATTACTGGGTTTTTATAAAAAATATCAGTAGTAGCACGGAGTCTGGAACTGTGCCCGGTATATGGCAATAGGCTCACCTCCTATTACATGGGACTCATAACATAAATAGTGAAAAGTGGGTGTTACATTGTACAGTGGTATAATGTGCACCTCTGCCTACCCCTTCAGGGATAAAAAGCGTGATGTTATGTGTGTGTGTAAAAAAACTTAATTTTAACAGGTGTGAAGAGGAAGACTGTCAAATGTCAGCAGATGCCCTGACCGTCCTGACTCGAGTAGCCACGGAAACATCACTACGCTACTCTATACAACTCATCACCACCGCCTCTCTAGTTGCTAAGAGGAGGAAGGCTACTGAGGTATGTATCCATTATCATCAATAGTCTCTATACTGCTGAACAAGTCGCGGAGAACCTAACGGGTAACCGGGGCTCCGGCTCGACGTGCAGGAGAAGGAACGGGGTGGTTTTTAGTCAGTAAGAGTCTGACACTCCCTCCCGCCTCACCCGGGCGGGAGCAGTCATTCGATGATTTTCCCCCCTTAAAAAAAAATACTGCTGAACAAAGCCTCTTGTCACACGGAGAAGGTTTGAGCATTAATCACCACGCTTGCTCAATGCGGGTTGACGATTACAAATTTATAATTAGAAATTACAAGCCCGGGTTTCCTCACGATGTTTTCCTTCACCGTTTGTCAGTGGTGTCTTGATAATCTTACGCAGGTACATGTAGCTCGGAAATAGTCATATTGGTACTTGTCAAGTTTTGAATTCACATCCATTTGCATAAGTGGTTCGAACCAGCTCAATACTAAATACTTGCTGACAATTTGTTAAAAAGAAAAATTAAAAAATCTTACATGAAAATAGAACACTTTCTTACTTATCGAGTCGGTGGTATTTCTGAACCGATACGACCTTGAAACCTTCAAGAAAAGAGCATATTATCTATTCCTTACCATCAGATGATAACCATTCTCTTGTGCATGATGTGTTAGCCTTTGATTGGGATGATGACAGGGTATGAAAATTAAAAATCTAATTAGTCCATCAGTTACTGTTAGGTAATGAAAAAATATTAGACACGTATTTTTTATTTTATCGTATAAGAATATGATTGTTAAATATAACGAATCAAAGTTTAGGAGTGGTGGGGGGGCTAACACGTCATGTCTACGTATAAAATGTACATAGAAGTGACGTCACGCGATATTTCAAATCAATATCGTCGAAAGTATTCGTTTCTGTAAGAAAATAAAAAATACGTGTCTAATGTTTTTAAATAATCTACCAGAGGACATTAAAATAAAAATTAGGCATCTACCCTATTGATTGTTACACTAGCAAGGGTATATTGTAAACCGATTTATTGAAATTTGATGTGTAAACAGTCGTTGGCTGATCCCCTAAATAAATGAAATGATCGGTCTGCGAGATTGCCTCATCTTATCTTATATCCTATACTATTATATGAAGCGATAGTTTGTTTTTTTGTTTGTTTGTTTGAACGCGCTAATCTCCGTAACTACAAGTCTGATTTGAATAATTATTTTTGTGTTGGATAGCGCATTTATCGAGGATGGCTATAGGCTATAAAACATCACGCTACGACCAATAGGAGCTGTGCAGAGTGTGTGAAACCGCGCGGAAGTAGCTAGTAATCCATAATAAAGACTAATCCAATGCTCTATTTGTAGGTGAGCATGGAAGATGTAAAGAAAGTGTACTCGCTGTTCCTGGACGAGCACCGCTCCGAGCAGTTCCTGAAGGAGTACCAGGATGAGTTCATGTTCAATGACGGATCTGGAGGTGAGGTGTCATACATTACAAAATATTGTATTACAGATAAAATAACATTATGATTTGGAACAACACTATGAATAATTGTGCGGGAATCAAACCTATTACACGTAGTACAGAAGCCGTCCAGTTACTATCAATTGTGCAGTTACATTGACCCAATTATGAGATATTAAACCATTATTAATTTTTACCAAAACTTATTTTACCGATATTTTTATTGATAAATAAATAAATATACCTCTTCTTTTCAGATGCCCCACAACTTATGGAAGTGTCGCAGTAAACGTATCAAAATTATTCCAAATATTTTAATTCAATATATTGTCGTCATTAGAATTTACATTTTTGTTGTAAAAGAAGTCGCCTATAAGTTACTTTTAAGTTTTATTATGTAAGTTTATATAATAAACGTGTATTAAAATGTATTTTTACTTTGGATTTGCTTGTATTTAAATGAAATTAATAAAAAATAATAATTTTGTTTTAAGTGGTGTGTTTTCTACTAAAACTATTGTCCTTAAATTGGTAGGAAATGAAAAATGTATGTGGCAACATTCTAAGTGTTGTTACAAAACTTACTATTTACTAATAATTAAAGTATCGGTTTTCTAAATTTGTTCGAGTGCAAAATCAATGCATTGCATATCCCCAAAATAAAATGAAGTCAGAGATTATCTAAAACAGCGAATTATTATCAAAACTCCGGTAAAACTTACAGTTTTATTTTTATTTGTTGAGTATTCTAAAATCGACTAAAACTACGAATTTGACAGTTCCGGTTTCTGTCTGTGTACCACCACAAAACTAAACTGCCATTGATTTTTCACTCAATCGTGAATATTTTTGGTGTCAATCTTTCGCGAAATCTAAATTTTCAGTAAAATCAAAATGTTTGCCGTAAGGAGCCTGTTCAAAGCCAACACCCAGATCCTGAAGAATGTGGCTCAGCACAGGAATATGAGCGTTATCGCTACACCCGCTAGGAACAAGATTACCAAAGGCGTAAGTTATTTTCGTATTTTTTACTAGAAGAATCAGTAACTTCGCACTTTTACACATTTATAGCCTTTTCTAATAATATTCAAAGTTATTTATGTACGACTTATGTGTACTAGATCGTTTAAAAACGATTTTAAAATTACGTAATTATTTACCAAAAAGTTAGGTTAGGTCTGTGTTTTTTAATCTAACAGGAAAAAATGTCTATTTAATTCTCTATTTTATGGTAATTTGTGTCTGAATTAGTATTTAGATATGTCAAATTTGTTATGAAACGTCTTGCATCGGTTGTAAGGAACTGTTCTACTATTTTTTTTGATGTAATTCATTTTTTTCTCTTATCTATATAGATTAGCCAATAGCTTATAGTATTGATGAAATGATATCGTTTACTGATAGAGTGTTTAAAGTACAAGTTTTTAGGTTATAACAATATATTTGTATTTATACTAGCCATTAGGCATGTAACAATAATCATTCTTACAAAAAAAATTACAGAATAATGAGACATAGAGACTAATTTGTACTTTTTTTATTTTACTAGTATGTATTTTTTGAAAAGCAATAAGCAATACCTGGCTGTTCTAATTTCTTAATTTATTTATTCAAGTATTTAAGAAAAGAACCCTATTTAACTCGTCGAGTACCGGTTTTATAGACACAATTAAAGAACAATAGGTCGCGGTCACTGGTGACCGCTTTGTGTTTGACAGATTAAATTAAATAAAGATTTTTAAAAAGTATTCAAGTATTAAGTATAATATGATAAGATATCAACGTAATATGTGTATGTAAACACAGTGAAGACAGAAGAAAATCTTAGAGTTAGGCGACGTTTTTTTTATATCATAGATAACCACTAAACTTTTTCTAATTAATATATCATTACGCATTTTATCCCCTAAGAGGTAGGCAGAGGGGCACATTACGGCACTTAATGCCACTGTACAATGTAACACCCACTTTCCACTATTTATGTTATGAGTCCCATGTAATAGGGGATATTACCATATACCAAGCACAATTCCATGGTCTGTGCTACTACTGAGAATTTTTTAAAACCCAGTAATTTTAAAAATTGTCCGACTGAGGAATCGAATTCAATACCCTTTGCCTAACCCAGGAATCAAAATCGAGATCCTTTGTCCGGCCACTTGCGACCACTCGGCCAATGTGGCACGCTTTCTCATTGTATTCTGCCTCGAGCAAATATAGTGATTAAAGAACCCAATCTTTTCATTTAACAGAACTGGCCTTTGACCACCAGTAACTACAATATAATAACTTTATTTACAGGAGATGGGAGTCCTAATCGCAGCCATGATCGCAGGTTGGTCCGTGATCCCCGTCTGGGTACTTGTGAACATCAAGAACTACAGGAACAAGGAATAAATCATGCGTAGACAATTCTATTGTGTAGTTACAGATCATATGTATGTATTATGTTTAAGTAAACGGTTAATTTAACATTCCATTGAGTTTTATTTCGACATCCTTACTATAACAATATTATAAATCGGAAAGTGAGTTTGTTTGTTTGTTCCACTTTCACGCCGTAACTACTAAATCGATTGCTTTGAATTTTTGCAGACGTGAAGTTAGAAGTCTGGATTAAATAATAGGGTACTTTTTATCCTGGAAAAATTTTATATTCTCGAGGAGAAACTATATTATTGGTATAGATGGCGCTGTGTGTATTTGTATATGTCACATAGGCTACTTTTTATCCTTTTGTGACGCGAGCGAAGCCGCGGGTAAAAGCTAGTTATCTATAACATTTAAATGTAAATTTTCGACTACATCTGGCCTGGGTAACACACACGCAGAATGTTATAACTTTTGACTGCCTCGGCCGAGTGGCCGCAAGTGCAACTACTGGGCTAGTGGTCTCGTCTCGGGTTCGATTCCCGAGTCGGGTAAAGTGTTACTGGGTTTCTAAAAAATCTCAGTAGGTAAGGAGTCTGGAATTGTGCCCGGTATATAGCAATTGGGACTCATAACATAAATAGTGAAAAGTGGGTGTTACATTATAGGTACATTAATATGCACCTCCGCCAACACTTTCGGGGATGAAGATAACCCATAACTATTATGTTTACTTTTGAAGCAGCTATCTTTAATCAGGTCGTGGTGGCCCGGAGGTTTAAGACACCCACTTCTCATGTATGAGGGTGCGGGTTCGAAACCTACCAACGGCAAGTACCAATGTGACTTTTTCCGAGTTATATGTACTTTCTAAGATTATTTAGACACCACTGACAAACGGTGAAGGAAAAACATCGTGAGGAAACTTGGACTTATAATTTCTAATTATAAGTTTGAAATCGCCAACCCGCATTGAGCAAGCTTGGTGATTAATGCTCTAACCTTCTCTGTGTGAGAAGTGGCTTTGCTCAGCAGTGGGCATTTATAGGCTGTTGATGATGATCTTTAATCGATAAGGCTGGAATTATGTGACGTTTAGTTTGCACCATATAATTATGCTTCGCTCAAATGACTTAAAAACGTATCGTGAGATTTCGGTTTACCTAACGTGTATATTGTAACGTTATTATTGTACACTAGACGACCCCCTTTTTCCAACTCCTGATTACTACTGGCTCTAAAGGTTGTCTGTAAGAAATCGCATTCTGCGATAGGACCGCCGATTTTTTTTTTAATGGGACAAGCCCGCCACATCCTCCCAAAACCGCTGCAACTCCTGTAAGCCAGGACCTACAGTAGATACAACCATGAAAACACCGGAACATTGAAGTCCGGCGCGTCCCAGGGACATGAGTAACTGTCTTGGTTCCCGCAACGAAGTGAATCAGAAGATATTATAAGAGGAGAAGAAGAAAAAACTTTCCACTTCCCTCGGTGAATTACTGCAGGAGACAGAATGAATTAAGCCTGAAGACACAAAGAAGAAACTGTACAACTAGGTGAAGCCCAGTCGCCAAGCGCCACGGAAATTTGACTAAAAATCTAAGTGGGTCCTATGTGTGAGCTGTTATACTTGCTTCCAATAATAGGTATGGCAAAAGCGCCTAAACGCACGGAAATTTGTTCTAGATTCCGCAAGGTCTGTATAATAAGCTACACCTGACGAAACAATGAAATTATTCAACATAGTGTTACGTTCATATTGCCAGAGATCACACTCCCAGAGTATGTGATGGGCCGACTGCTCGTATTGCAACTCCACTGTCGAACATTGGCACCATGGAGAATGAATAAGCTTAAATGAGAACAATTTGCTTTTAAAGTTGCCGTGGCCAGTAAGAAATTGGGCAATTGGGCAAGACCGCCGATTGTACACATTATTTTTATGTTTATTGACGTGACAACGTCTTATAAATTGGTTTGCCGGGTGACACTTCAAGAAACTGCGTTACGCTCCGCTCACGTTATGCGCTCACAATGAGAGCGAGTGAGAGGCACGCGTCCCTTCCACTCGGGCATGGTTAGCCCGCCTAAGAGCGAGAGAGACAGGCATAAAAAGTGAAAGGCACGCGTCCCTTCCACTCGATATTATTTCATCCTTCTTCCTACTATACGAATATTCACATTAAAATTATTTTACCACTCGAAAGTAGTTGTCACGTAAAACTTTCGCCCGTATACCGACTTTACAGGCAACCAATTTTTTTTTCTATGTATGTTTTTATAATGTACAATAAAGTGTGTAAATAAATAAATAAATTTTCGATTCTAAACGGGACATTCGTTGCTTTAGATTTACTGAGGTAGGCATCTGGTACTTACTTAGATAAATAAAAACACAACAATCATTTAAATAAATCTATAATATATTTAATACACTTAAAAAATACAAGATTATTACATACTTATTACACCTCAAAAAGTAACAATATTATTTCGCATTTAATAGTAACCTAACCAAATAACAATTGCGCTTATTCCCGCCAAAAACGGAGTCGATTTTACAAACATGGCGGCGCTCTTGTCATCTCGTTTGATTGGCGCGCATTCCTTTTCCAACCAATCATAAACGTCTGTTAAATTGCGTTCTTGTAAAATAGGACCCAGCGTTTTGAAGACACGTTCATGATAATCGTTTAGGTATTTAATCTGAAATGTAAATGAAATAAATTATTCTATATATACCTATATAAATAAAAACCCGTTTCCCGTTGTCACGCAATAACTTAAGAACGGCTGATTTTTTTTTATTTTGTTGTTTGTTATTGTCAGGAGAAGGTTCTTATGACAGAAAAAATCCTGAAATCCTACGGGAACGGGGGAAAACGGTATTATATAGATCTCCCGGTCAATTTCGATCATGGCATTGTGGCCAGTCGAACTAGAGTAGCCCACTACGCAGGAGATATTATAGTGCACAAGTGTGTGTGCGAACACAAGTACATTCTATGTTCCCTCACTCTCTGAACCTGATGGGACGGCAGACCGACACGACCGGAGAGAGATCAGGCGCATGACCAACGGATTTACGTGCTTACCGAGACACGGAAGTGGAACACCGCCGAACTTCTTGACTCCGGGCTAAGAATGGGAATTTTATTCATAAAATGTCAATATCACTTTTTGGTCGGCGCGGGAATCGAACCCACGACACGTTGCACAGCAGCCAGTCTCCTAACCACTACGCCAACCGAGCAGTCAATAGATAATTGGTTATTTTTTGATTAAATTATGAGATGAAATATTATCTGCCTGACCTAGCGAAACCTGATCAGGATCTCAAAACATTGTATTGTCTGTAATGTACCACTTTTCTAGTAAATAAAATTGATTTTATATTTGACTAGCTTTTACCCGCGGCTTCGCTCGCGTCACAAAAGGATAAAAAGAGGCTACTTTGGTGTGACATATACCAATACACACAGCGCCATCTATACCAATACTTTTGTTTTCCCTTGGGAATATCAAATTTTTCCGGAATAAAAAGTACTCTATTATTTAATCCGGATTTCTAACTTTACGTCTGCAAAAATTCAAAGCAATTGGTTTAGTAGTTACGGCGTGAAGGCGGAACAAACAAACAAACAAACAAGCTCACTTTCCGATTTATAATATTAGTAAGGAAGTAAGGATTTACCTCAAAATCAGTTAGGAGATCTACATCCAAGCAGGCAACCTGGTGAGGTGCCAAGGATATTGTGTGGAAGCCAACTGCACCACGACCAGCAAAGTCACCTACTAGTCCTGAAGCTTAGAGAAAAAATAAAAAGAACACATAACATAACAAACATCACACCTTTTATCCCCGAAGAGGTAGGCAGAGGTGTACATTATGCCACTGTACAATGTAACACCCACTTCACTATTATGTTATGAGTCCCATGTAATAGGGGGTGAGCCTATTGCCATATACCGGGCACAATTCCAGACTTCGTGCTACTACTGTGAATTTTTGAAAAACCCAGTAATAATTTGCCCGACCCGGGAATCGAACCCGAGACCTCTAGCCCGGCAGTCGCACTTGTGACCACTCGGCCAATGAGGCAATTAAATCAAAATATAAAAGTAATCACTCAATAACTATGGTATTAAAACAATTCGCTTTCCCGTTGTCTGTTTTTGGGGCTTACTCTTGAATCCAATTCCGATCGATCGACATTAATATTGTGTCGTACTCTTGAGTTGCAACACTAGCGCCCATTGCATCCGTATTGCGTGGATATTGAATGAACTAAATGGTATTGAGTTAGGTAGTTTCCTGGGTCCAAAAATAAATTATTTTGATTTTTCAGTCCAATTAACTCGTTGAGTACCGTCATTATAGACACAATTAAAGAACAATAGGTTGCGGTCACCAGTGACCGCGCGGTGTTTGACAGTTTAAATATTGAAAAACAGTTACACTTTTATTCATTGATTTGCCGATATACTTAATTTTCGATTTATTCTAGCATTGTTATACAATAATCGGTATTGGTATTTGACGCGAAAATATGATGACGTCATAGGTAAGATGGTATTTCATACAAAATTCATAGGACAGTATCGTTTTTGATGTTTCGATAAAAATATTTAATTTGACTAATTGTCAACTACCGTATTTCACGAATACAGAGTTTGGTCCCTCAGTTCACATATATGTAATAAAATTTTGTACATTTATCGGGAAGGCTATATATAGGCTGTAAATCATCTCGCTACGATCAATAGAAGCTAAGCAGCAGGTGAAACCACGCGGGAGTTGTTAGCAAAATGTTTATACTTACATGAATATGATCGGATTCTGTGCTCATCTCAATAGTTTCCACTAAATCTTCATGACGGATACCATATTCTCCAACTTCATAGTACCCGGGCTCTGGAATGAAAATTTTTTTTTAATTAACTAAACCTGAAAGAGGTTTGCAAAAAAGAGTTTGACGCGGTGACAGCTGCAACTAATATAGACTTGGACTGAATCACCCACTTCGGACCACATCCCATGAATAAACAATCATCCGAACACAGTACCTGCTCTTTTTAAACTCGATAAAAATAACAAATATCAAAACCGGTTGAGGCGTAGTGCACCAGGTTGCCACAGGCACGATACTAGCGACCTCTATTATTACTAACTCTTTTTTGTCAAGTTGTATGTCTTCTATCTTAAAAAGATTTGGATATAAGATGCCTTCAGCCGTTTGATGTGATTGAGTAATATACTATTATCCTTATACTATTATATATAGCAGAAGAGTTTGTTTTTTTGTTTGTTTGTTTGAACGCGCTAATCTCCGAAACTACAAGTCTGATTTGAATAATAATTTTTGTGTTGGATAGCGCATTTATCGAGGATGGCTATAGGCTGTAAAACATCACGCTACGACCAATAGGAGCTGAGCAGAGCGTGTGAAACCGCGCGGAAGTAGCTAGTAACTAATAAAAACAAAGAAAGAAAAAGTGCGATATTTTAAAAGAAAAACGAACTCAATAAAGGAAACATGGTCCAAATGACTTACCATTGCTGTAAATCATCTTAGGAGCAATACCAGGGTCGTCAGCAGTAGGTCCACTTAAGATCCAGATCGGACCTTCGTGGACATTTAAGAAGTGCCCGACTCCGTGGCCTGTACCATGGCCATAGTTCAGACCCACATCCCATAGGAATTTGCGAGCTAATACCTCTATTACGTTACCCTGGAACCAAACTTTGTATTATTTAATTTGAAGGTGGTAATCGCTTGATGCAAGCGCCATATCTGCCGTATCAATTATACGGAGGCCCCGGACCACGGGGCACCCCAACGTGCGCAAGCAAAAATTAATAAAAACTTCACAATTTTTATTTTATTTCAGTACTTAATCAAAAGAGTCAAAATAAACGAGAGTTTTAAGTGTGAGAGAGCCATGCTTCGGCACGAATGGGCCGGCTCGACCAGAGTGAAACCATGGCCGAGCAGAAACCCGCCGTGAAGCAACGCTTGCGTTGTGTTTCGTCATGTGACTGAGGATAGCGGAGGCCCAATTATACCCTCCCCCCTCGCCAATCTCCCCAATCCTTTTCAAACTCAAAAGCATTTATTTCAATTAAACCATAATTTGGTACTTTTGAAACGTCAACCTTGAACCCTCAACAATCCTCAAAGGCCGGCAACACACTTGTAACGCCTCTGGTGTTCCGGGTGTTCATGGGCGGCGCCGATTGCTTACCATCAGGTGATCCGTCAGCTCGTTTACGGCATGTCCCACAAAATAATATGTATGTCGTAGGATAATTTGATACTTCGAATCTTCGCGGAAATCCTAGGGGTTTTGCGAAAACGCGGATAATTAGACATAGGCGAAAAATTATCAAATCTTACTGGACAAAGTCAGGATTTTTGCGAAAATACTCGTTACTATAGTAAGATTGCGAAACGAAACGCTGGCTGTTATGAAATAAGAACGCTGATTGGTCGGTCAGCGCGTTCAATAAGAGATAGTCTCTGATTGGTTGACGTCTTAAATGTTTTTTCGTCGTCTTAAACGACCAGTTTCATCCAATTTATGGATTACACCCTAAAATTGGATCATTTTTTTACTACGACTGAGATCTCCTATTGTCTGTAGAAAACAACATACATATGTACTAAAATTTTCAATAAAAAGTTTATAAAAATCAATTTAGTGATTTTCCTTTCTCACCTATTCTAAACCTTCATAACTCTATGATACAATACTTGAAGTTAATCATCGGCAAACTAGGAACCAATTAGAAGTCAGCCAGCAAAATTGTAGCCAATCAGTGTTAAGCACATCAAATCTTACTATAGTAACGAGTATTTTCACAAAAATCCTGACTTTGTCCAGTAAGATTTGATAATTTTTCGCCTATGTCTAATTATCCGCGTTTTCGCAAAACCCCTAGGATTTCCGCGAAGATTCGAAGTATCAGATTATCCTACGACATGTACACAGTTATCTAACTTGTGGACCACCTGGGTTACCGGGGCTCCAGCTCTAAACTGAAGTAGAAACGGGGTGAGGTTTAGTCAGTAAGAGTCTGACACTCTCTGTCCCCTCACCCAAGGGGAGGAGTCATTGGATGATTTTCCCCTCTCAAAACAATATGCACTTACCAAAGTCCCTCTCGGTACAATGGTCGTAGCCAAGTTGATCTGTCCTTTAAGCACTCGTGTGAACGTGAGTCGCTGCTCAGCTGTGGGGCTGGCAGACATGTGACGGGTTCTCGTTATATCTGTGGTGCCCTCGCTATATAGAGGCGAAAACAAAACATTTTATTTTAATTCACGGTTGGCGCGGGTTCGATTCCTGCACGGAGCAACGCTTTGTGTGATCCACAGATTGTTGTTCCGGGTCTGGGTGGCATGTGTATGTGAAATTGTATTTTTTTAAACGCACCCACGACACAAGACAAAATTCCAGTGTGGGACAACGTTTAAAAAAAATTGGAATAGCCATGTTTCGGTAGTAATGGGCCAGCGCGACCGGAATGATCGAGTATAGGATCACGGTCGAGCAGAAAACCATAGTGTAACATCGTCGTACTTAAATATCGTGCCGTCTCTGTCATTTTACAAAGGATTTGCAAAGTAGTGACAGACTGCCTCGTTGGCCGACTGGGTTGGATTCCCTCAAAGGTCTGGGTGCTTACTCTTGAATCCAATTCCGATCGATCAACATTGACATTATGAAATTTCGTACTCTTGACTTGTAACACTAGCGCCTATTGCATCCGTATTGCGTGGATATTTCATGAACTATATGGTATTGAGTTCGGTTTTATATTCCGTACTCTAAATGCTACTTTAGGAGCTACGATAGGGGTTGTATAGTTTTGACATTGGATAATTATTGAGATTTTATTGGATTGAAATTGCAAAGTAGGTCGGGCAAAGTACTACTGGGTTTTTAAAAAAAACTTGGTAGTAGTATGGAGTCTGGAATTGTGGTAAATGGCAATACGCTCATCCCCTATTACATGGGACTCATAACATAAATAGTGAAAAGTGGGTGTTACATTGTACGGTGGCGTAATATGCACCTTTGCCTACCCCTTCGGGGATAAGAGACGTAATGTTATGTATGTTATGTAACTATACTTGAGTGATATTTGAGTATTTCAGTGTCTATGTCGCATCAAAAAAGACGTGAAAATTAGGACAAAAAGCTAACAAGTAGAAGACACTTACAAATACTGTCCACCGGAATCTAGGAGCAGCATGTCATCAGGTCTGATGACCCTCTGTGGACCAGTACTCTGTGGACTGTAGTGTATGATGGCACCGTTACTGCCAGCCCCAGCTATCGTGGAGAACGAGGGACCCATGAAATGTTCTTCATCGCTGCAAAATAACAATAATTCTTTTTTAACCGACTTCTCGGTTTAAAGAAATTTATTTCTCATAAGAACATACAGTCCTCTTATAATGAGATACAAAGTAATAAACAAATATAGTAGGTACAATACAAATTTCCTCCAAAGTATTAGCAGTTACAATGTACTTAAATGTTTCTTTAGCTTATATTTAAATGTGTTCACGTTATCGCACTCTTTGATATCGTCGGGTAATGCATTGAACAGATGTACTCCTTCATATAATAAAGTCTTTCTACCGTAATTAGTGCGTACTGTTATATCCCTGATATGTAAGGGTTTATGCTGGGATGACATAAAACTGCATCGTCATCATTATTATATCTTAGCGTGTAAGGTGGCATGCCAGACCCCTCAGTCTGGACAAGATCTCCGAACGGTACGGTTGTATACTCAGTCCTTTAATTAATTAAAATAGTTTTAATATAAAATTAGTTTTTTTTAAAAAGAAATCCTAAAGGACTCTCGTAACAGTACGCTAATGACTTCCAGTTTGTTTTTATTCTTACTATTACTTCTACAAAAAGTAGGCTATCAATTCGACCCGTATGTATGTTATATTTCCAGTTTAAAATGCCCAGTTTTCGTTACAAGTCAAAGGCCAAAAATCCACTGCCACCGTGAGTGATGTTCACACGGCAATGCGTAAGTAATTTCATATTAATGTGCATAAAAACGCGTGCGTACGCATAAACACACGCACGCGTACACACGGATAAAAATATGCGTGTGCATGTGTGTATAAGCGCTGCAGCGCAACCGATAGTAGTCTTACGGTGGTAATGGACTTTTGACCTTTGACCGTACATGTTAATCTGGGTGGGTCTTGAAAAGTTCGGGGAACTTCAGGCAAGGTTTAAAAAAATAGAGAAAAAAGTTGTAGGCGGTACGAAATGCGCCAGGACATCTTGTATAAAATAAAATAAAGTTAAGCATCCATACGCTCACACAACTTCATGCATTCTTTGTACAGTCTTTCAGCTTTACGCAAATATATGATACTTTGGTGCGCAGCGCTTCGTGCGTGTGGTGTGGGTGGGACAACTACCATGAATCGGTGACGCTTCGCTTTAGGAAATACAGATTCTGGCAAAGAATTCCACTCCTTAGCAGTACGTACAATTTAATATAGTGAGGGCACGAACAAGACATGGTTTAGGGGCGACCATGGGTTACTAGAAACATTATGTTACCGAGTCCCCAAGCGGTCTACAGTGACCGCTCTCCACTTACTCCATTATAGACCTTATTCCCGCTGTTTGGAGACTACTTTTGTATTTATATTATAAGTTTCGTTAGACATCCTTACTTATACATATTATAAATCGGAAAGTGAGTTTGTTTGTTTGTTTGTTTGTTCCGCTTTCACGACGTAACTACTGAACCGATTGCTTTGAATTTTTGCTGACGTGAAGTTAGAAGTCTGGATTAAATAATAGGATACTTTTTATCCCGGAAAAATTTGATATTCTCGAGGGAAAACGAAATTATTGGTATAGATGGCGCTGTGTGTATTGGTATATGCCACATGGGCTACTTTTTATCCTTTTGTAACGCGTGCGAAGCCGCGGGTAAAAGCTAGTAATATTATAAATCGGAAAGTGTGTTTGTTCCGCTTTCACGCCGTAACTACTAAACCGATTGCTTTGAATTTTTGCAGACGTAAAGTTAAAAGTTCGGATTAAATAATAGGGTACTTTTTATCCTGGAAAAAATTTGATATTCCCGAGGTAAAACAAAAGTATTGGTATAGATGGCGCTGTGTGTATTGGTATATGTCACATAGGCTACCTTTTATCCTTATGTGACGCGAGCGAAGCCGCGGGTAAAAGCTAGTACTAAATAAATTATTATGTTTTCGGCTTTTTTATGAACATACGTAGTGGATTTTTCATAATCCGGGTTTCAGAACTTAATGTATAGTGAACTCATCTAATTCTGTGACTCGCCTAATAATTCGGTTTAGTAAATTTGGTACAACTCTTAGGTTTCTAGAAAAAAATCTGATTATTTGTGCTAATATTCCTCATAAAAGACTGATTAAAACTCATGCGGAGACTGAATTAAATTAATTAATAATTTATTGGTATTTGTCACGAAGTTAGATGAGTTCACACTATTTAACTATTTACTTACCTTCTAAAATCTACTAATTTGTTTGACAAGTCCATCTCCGTGATGTTGACTCCAGAGTTGACCTGTGTCTCGACCCAATGTAAGGCCCGAACGACTGCTACGCCATCCTTTATGTGGGCTAAACGGAATCCCTGGGAAATTGTAAAAAAAAAATATATAAATACGGACATAACATCACGCCTTTTTATCCCCGAAGGGGTAGGCAGAGGTGCACACAGAAGTAACACCCACTTTTCACCATTTATGTTATGAGTCCCATGTAATATGGGGTAAGCCTATTGCCATATACCGGGCACAATTCCAGACTCTGTGCTACTATTTAAAAAACCCAGTAATACTTTGCCCGACCCGGGAATCGAACCCGAGACCCCTTGCCCGGCAGTCGCACTTGCGACCACTCGGCCAACGAGGCAGTCATATATAATATATAAATACATCTTTTAATTATGTATATTTTATCGGATAAGCAGGTAAACGAGCAGACGGATCACCTGATGGTAAGCAATCGGCGTCGAAAATGGACACTCGGAACACCAGAAGCGTTACAAGTGCGTTACCGACCTTTTGGGGATTATGATTCAGGGATTGGGGAGATTGGAAACATGAAGAAATGCACTGCAAGCTTTATTTTACGTCGGTTTTCTGCTCGGCTGTGGTATCACTGCGGTCGAGTCGGCCCATTCGTGCCGAAGCATAGTTCCAACATTTACCGTTTTATGGGTAATTTTTCCAGATACTTTTTTCAAAATGCCTACAACGGCAACTTTCGCAGTGTATCACCATGTGAATAAGGTCAGCGGAGACCTAATTCAACCTCTCTAAACCCCAAAGTCCCAATCTTCAATTTCCTAATCCCAAAAGGCAGTGCCCGGCGTAAGGGCCACTGACACCCCGGGCGAAAATATTGTGGCGCCCACTTGAGCTAACGACGCGGACCACAAACCCTCAAAAAATCCATCTAAACAAAATCTCAATAAAAAATATGCACAAGCACAGAGCGTTCTGAGGGCACAGTTCTGAGGGTGAGGCAAGAGACTCCAACTTCAGACCTTGGCGCTCCCCAGAATTTGTCGCCCTGGGCCATCACGCCATCACGACCCCCCCCCCCTAACGCCGGTACTGCCAAAAGGCTTATAAGTGTGAGAGAGCCATTTATTTTTAACTCTTGAAACTCCCCAGCTATAATCAATATATCATAATAATATTAGCGGTTATAAAGAAAATGCTATAACTAAAAAAAAATGTATTACCTCGAGTTCGACGTCATTTTTCACGCATTTTTTCAACGCAACCGGAGATATAGATGTAGTTAATGTACGAACCGTACTCGTCTGAAATAAACATAATTTTATTAAATATAGGCATTTGATAGTGTAAGGTTATTTTGTTTATTCCTAAAAATGATATATTTTAAATAAAAAAAACTGTGAGGAATTGAATCGGGTAACACTTTTAACATGGCAACACAAAAAAAAGAAAAGTGGCAGTTTTTGGTTTTGTAAGAGGAGACGCGGGAAAGCGGAGATATATGGCGGCAATTTGTGGAACGAAAAAAAGTGAATGGACGTTGAGAGGAATTGATAAAATACAGAGTGTGAACATACGCAGTGGAAGTTTTATTGAAAACCCCTATAATATTTACAATAGTAATCCTTCAAAACTGCAACCTCCAGCCCGCGTGCCTAATGTGGAGATTTTCCAAACTCCTCTTATGTAGAAGAGACCTACGGAGGAGAGACCTATAGCTGTCTTTACCAACCAACTCTAACCATCTCTTAACTAAGAATTACTTAGCGCGAGGGAGCACACTAACCGCTTACTTGTACTGTTGGGAGTCACTGATAGTTTATGTGGAAATCAAGTGCCACCTATCTTACTTTAGGTATTCCTTAAAAATTAAGAGAATTTGGTGAAAACGGGTTTTAAATCTTTAAATAAGTATTCTGATCTCCAACACGCCAATCTACGGAGATCATGGCAAACCCTCTTATGTAGAATAGGCACGTAATCCAGCAATGGATAGTCCCGAGTTGTGGACGTGTTTTTTTTATGGAATAGGAGACAAACGAGCAGATGGATCGCCTGATGGTAAGATAGCAGCAACACAAGAAGAGCGGCAGGTGCGTTGCCGGCCTTTAAAAAGGAATACGCTCTTTTCTTGAAGGTTTGAAAGTCGTATCAGTTTGGAAATACCGCCGACGACAGATCATTCAACAGTTTTGCTGTGCAAGGCAGGAAGCTACGTGAGAAGCGCACAGTTGTGGCCTGCCAACCATCTATGTGATGGGATATGCTATCCTGAGGGTCGATGGCGAAAAAATTAGACAGGTATCAGATCGAATAATTCCTCAGAGCACTCCCCGTGGTATAAGCGATAGAAAATGCACAACGAAGCTACATCTCTACGCATTACCAAAGTATCTAGACGGTATATCTTTATCAACTAGCTTCACATCTACATTTTTGTTGTTAACGTTCAAAAATGCCTTCCTGGTCTAATTGAAATAAATGATTTTGACTTTGACTTTGACAACAATCCGAACGGCACGCGGACTAAGAACATTCATCTTAGGTATAAGACACTCTTATGTAGAGGAACCTGGTAGGTCAATAGCGGACTGTCACAGACTGATGATTTGAATAAGTACAGCTTGCCAAAAACTAAAATACGACTATACGACAGCACGCTTTAAAAATATCAAACAAGAAAATTTTCTTAGATGACAGCCGCGGTCGTATGTTGTCATTACGTACTGGAGAGCAATGTGGCTTATATATTTGAAATGTGCTAGTTACGCCCTTTCGTTTGATATCAAACACGATATATGCAGATAAACCTATTTTTATTTATTTTTATATGACCTCTAGAGAGCGCTAAATGCAATTTCACATAATTTTATGAAGTAGTTTATACTATAACCAACGGACTAATGGGACGCTTCTAATGATATTTATCTAATTATCGACAGTAGTTTAAGAGTTAGGAGGGAACAGATGAACATACATAGATACATACCAGTTAAAGATCACCCTCCTTTTGGCTTAGCCGTAGTTGGGTAAAAAATATCAAATATCAAAACCGGTTGAGTCGTAGTGTACTGGGTTGCCACAGGTACGATACTAGCGACCTCTATTATTGCAAACAATTTTTTGCCAAGCTGTTATAAGTACATCTGAGCGTATCAGATACCCATATCAACGCTTGAGTAAGTAAATTATATTTGTTAAATTACCTCTATAGCCAATAAAATGGCGTGACTGGCTTCATCGGACAACCAAATAGTGCTTTGAGCGCCAATGATATTCTGGAACAATAAAAAAAAAACGTTTTTAAAACCAATTTTAAAATTTCGAAGCAGATATTTTCAACCGATTGAGCTGAAATGTAAATCCTTATCCTTATCCTTACTATTATAAATGGGAAAGTGAGTTTGTTTGTTTGTTCCGCTTTCACGCCGTAACTTCTAAACCGATTGCTTTGAATTTTTGCAGGCGTAAAATTAGAAGTCCGGATTAAATAATAGGGTACTTTTTATCCCGGAAAGTTTTGGTATTTCCGAGGGAAAACAAAAGAATTGGTATAGATGGCGCTGTGTATACACACAGCGCCTATACCAATACTGGTATAGGCTACTTTTATCCTTTTGTGACGCGAGCGAAGCCGCGGGTAAAAGCTAGTAATGTATAATTCAAACATGACTGACTGACTGACTGTCTGACATAGTGATCTATCAACGTACAGCCCAAACAACTAGACGGATCAGGCCGAAAATTCGGCATGCAGGTAGATGTTATGACCTAGGCATCCACTAAGAAAGGATTTTGATACTCTCCACCCCCCAGGGTATAAAATAGGGGGATGAAAGCTTGTATGAAACTTTGTTAATGAAATTTAAACTGATCGGGCTGACACTTTGCATGCATAAAGCTACAATGAGATAAGCATCCCCCTAAGAAAGGATTTTGATAAATTCAATCAATTCTATCCTGCAGCTGTAGCCAAATGCCATTTAGCGCTTGTCTACATGTAGAATAGAAAACCAAATTATATGGAATTGACGTAAATTTTTACACTTGTCAGTGTCATCCCCATACATATAATTTTCTACTCTCTCTGTAGACAAGCGTTAAAGTGGCGTTTGGCTAAAGGCACTGATCCCGTTAGCTTACGTATTTTTTTTTGTTACGTACTTTTTACCGAAAATCACGAACGGGGACGGAAAAAATGGGATTACGCGTACGAAGTCGCGGGCAGAAGCTAGTTATATATAGTAAGGACTAGTAAGGATAAGATGTAGACAAAGATACTTACAGACAAACCTCTGAGGTAATCAAAAATGTCTTCGTAAGGTCTACATGTAAAAACTACGCCCTCTCGAGTTAGATGATTCTGGACATCAGCTGCCAAAACTCCATCACCCCAAAATAATTCGACTGCTACGGGCGTCTGAAATAAAAACAACGACTTTTAGGCACGACACATCAAGGTATGATAAACCAGTATAAAATGACCGTCGGAAGTGCGGAAAGGTTATTTAAAGTGCGACGGGCACCGTCGATTGGAACTGGTCAGCTCCAGACTGTATCATTTTATTTTATTATCCTCAAGGTTATTTTCTTTTTCAGTCTTTCTGACTGGATTTGGGTGTTGCATTGTTCTCACATAATCGAACCAATAAAACTATGTAACTAGAGAATTGTATTGTAAACCTGATTGAAAAAGAGTAACCTATGGAGTTTCTTGCTCGTTCTTCTCCATAGGAATCTACACCTTGGAATGAGCAACTAGCTTCACTTATAAATTTTTGTTGTTTGACGTTCAAAAGTGCCATCCTGGTCTAATTGAAATAAATGATTTTGACTTTGACTTTGACTTTGACCATGATACCCTGGTCGTTGTAGCTCCATAAATCAAGGTCTATAAAACCAGTATAAAAAGACCTTTGAAAGTGCGGAAAGGTTATATAAAGCGCGACCATGATACAATGGTTTTCATATCTTCATGTGAACATACACTTAAAGAATAAGTCCTAAATTTTTTTTTAATGTCCGTCTGGTACATTATTTTTTTGATGCTAAAAAAAGAGGGGGCTAAAGTCGGTTTTTTTAACCGTATACTTTATAAAAGAATTATTAAAGTAATTAAAAAAATTATAGCTTTCGATAAAATTAAAAAAAACACTAGTGGCTCCATTTCCATGGTCCCAGGTGTAGATAAGTGTACTTACTGGATCAACAACGGAAAGTCTTCTGATGAGTAAATAAGAGAAGAAGACTGGATTATACGGTATATCAGAACCGCGCAGGTTGAGGGTATCTGAAATTTCATAATTCTACTAGTAATTTTATATTATATACAGACTGCCTCGTTGACCGAGTGGTCGCAAGTGTGACTGCCGGGCAAAGGGTTTAAAACATTCTCAGTAGTAGCACGGAGTCTGGAATTGTGCCCGGTATATAGCAATAGGCTCACTCCCTTACATGGGACTCATAACATAAATAGTAAAAATATGGTGTTACATTGTACAGTGGCTTTATGTTCCGTAATGTTCACCTATGCCTACCCCTTCGGCGATAAACGGCGTGATATTATACCTAAAGCAAACTAGACCAGTGAATAGGGCGCCAGGATACAGCGAGGCGCCACGAGACGCGCATGCACAACTGTACAAAAAATTTAGGGGAATTGCACAACTTGATTCCCACTAGTGGTTATATATGTCGTAGGATAATTTGATACTTCGAATCTTCGCGGAAATCGGGTTTTGCGAAAACGCGGATAATTAGACATAGGCGAAAAATTATCAAATCTTACTGGACAAAGTCAGGATTTTTGCGAAAATACTCATTACTATAGTAAGATTGCGAAACGAAACGCTGGCTGTTATGAAATAAGAACGCTGATTGGTCGGTCAGCGCGTTCAATAAGAGATCGTCTCTGATTGGTTGACGTCTTAAATGTTTTTTCGTCGTCTTAAACGACCAGTTTCATCCAATTTATGGATTACACCCTAAAATTGGATCATTTTTTTTTTACTACGACTGAGATCTCCTATTGTCTGTAGAAAACAACATACATACTAAAATTTTCAATAAAAGGTTTATAAAAATCAATTTAGTGATTTTTCTTTCTCACCTATTCTAAACCTTCATAACTCTATGATACAATACTTGAAGTTAATCATCGGCAAACTAGGAACCAATTAGAAGTCAGCCAGCAAAATTCTAGCCAATCAGTGTTGAGCACATCAAATCTTACTATAGTAACGAGTATTTTCGCAAAAATCCTGACTTTGTCCAGTAAGATTTGATAATTTTTCGCCTATGTCTAATTATCCGCGTTTTCGCAAAACCCCTAGGATTTTCGCGAAGATTCGAAGTATCAAATTATCCTACGACATATACAAAAATATTTTTCACGTTCCACTCAGCAAGTTAAAACACTTCATGGGAAAGAGTCCCAGTCCTAATTGTGCAGAGTGTGGCACCATAGAGGATGTCCACCACTTGCTGGTGGAATGTATCAGGACGAGGGTATCACCCCTAAGCGGGTTACACCCTACGTACGCCACTGCTTGCAGCTTGCAGGTATATCAATACTAATATCATAAAGCTGAAGAGTTTGTTTTTTGTTTGTTTGTTTGAACGCGCTAATCTCCGAAACTACTGGTCCGATTTAAAAAATTCTTTCTGTGTTGGATAGCCCATTTATCGAAGAAGGCTATAGGCTATAAAATATCACGCTACGATTAATAGACGCCGAGCAGAGCGAGTGAAACCGCGCAGAAGTAGCTAGTCTGCTTAGATAGATAGAGGAGGCTAATAGTCTAGTAGGGGACTGTTATGGGCTGTTGATTATGATGACTTACATGCGATATCGTCTAATGCTGTTAGAAGCAACATGGTGGCACCTCTTCCTTGCATTTGCACTAATAATTCTGAAATCTTCGTAGACGCCCGTTGTCCTGAAATCATAATAATAAATAAACTATCATAGTTACTAGGATGGGACGGTTGACATAATTATGTCGGGCATATCATAGTCCTGGTGAATCCATTAGACATATTATTTCTGATTGAGGTCGTTTGGCTAACAGTGATTTGCATAGGCATAATCAAGTAGCCAAGATTATCCATCAGCAACTTGCTTTACACTATCGACTTGTTGAGTCTGAGGTACCGTACTACAAGTATGTGCCCGACCCAGTTCTGGAAAATGACTATATCACTTTGTACTGGGACCGGTCTATCATTACTGACAGGACTATTGTAGCCAATAAACCTGACATAGTGGTGATAGACCGACAAGTACGCCGCACGATGATAATCGATGTCACCATTCCCCATGATGAGAACCTCGTGAAAGCTGAGAAAGATAAACAAATAAAATATCTAGACTTAGCTCACGAGGTTGTCGACATGTGGAATGTGGATTCCGCTACCATTGTGCCGATAGTCATGTCGGCCAATGGGTTAATCCCTAAAAGCCTCGACATTCATTTCAGGAGGCTGGCGTTAGGTGGATGGATCAAGGGCCTGATACAGAAGGCAGTTCTCCTAGAAACGGCACGTACAAGCACAAGGTTTCTGTTTCTAGAGCCCTAACCACCGGTAATAAATAATAAATACCTCAGACTCAACAAGTTGATAGTGTAACTTGGCAATAATCTTGGCTACCTGATTAAACCTATGCAAATGTTCAGTTTTAGCCATTTTTTTATATTTTTAAATATTATTCCTTTTCTTTGTCAAGTAGTATTTAGAAATATTATTTTTAGAGAATTTTAAATAACTATACGGAAATAAACTATGAAATATGTTGTTAAAAACCTATAATTAAGCTTTAAATCATTCTTATGTCCTAATAGTTTACCCACACGTTGATCTTTCACAAGGTACAGCGTGACAAAAAAGAGTTTGGCATAATAGAGGTCGCTAGTATCGTACCTGTGGCAACCTGGTACACTACGACTCAACCGGTTTTGATATTTGTTATTTTTATCGAGTTCAAAAAGAGGAGGTACTGTGTTCGGATGATTGTTTATTCATGGGATGTGGTCCGAAGTGGGTGATTCAGTCCAAGTCTATATTAGTTGCAGCTGTCACCGCTGCGAACTCTTTTTTGCCAAGCTGTAAATGTAAGGGTATCATAACTACTTCAGCACGAATACGTCGGCTCGATCGGAGTGATACCACAACCTCTCAAGTATGAGTGAAGATACCGGAGGCCCGATTTCCTCTCTTCCCAATCCCCAAACCTCCAATTTGTGAAATGCCATCCTTAAACTACAAAATCAATTAGCCAAACATTATTTTTTCTTCTCCACTTACAATATCTTCTGATTTATTTTATTGCGTGAACCAAGACAGTTGTTCATGTCCCTGGGACGTTTGACTTCAGTGTTCCGGTGTTTTCATGGTTGTATCGACTTTTTTTTTTTTTTTTTATGTGGGACAAGCCCGCCACAACCTCCCAAAACCGCTGCAACTCCTGTAAGCCAGGATCTACAGTAGATACAACCATGAAAACACCGGAACACTGAAGTCCGGCGCGTCCCAGGGACATGAGTAACTGTCTTGGTTCCCGCAACGAAATGAATCAGAAGATATTATAAGAGGAGAAGAAAAAACTATAGTTTCCACTTCCCTCGGTGAATTTCTGCAGGAGACAGAATGAATTAAGCCTAAAGGCACAAAGAAAAGACTGTACAACTGGGTGAAGCCCAGTCGCCAAGCACCACGGAAATTTGACTAAAAAACTAAGTGGGTCCTATGTGTGAGCTGTTATACTTGCTTCCAATAATAGGTATGGCAAAAACGCCTAAACGCACGGAAATTTGTTCTAGATTCCACAAGGTCCGTATAATAAGCTACACCTGACGAAACAATTAAATTATTCAACATAGTGTTACGTTCATATTGCCAGAGATCACACTCCCAGAGTATGTGATGGGCCGACTGCTCGTATTGCAAATCCACTGTCGAACATTGGCACCATGGTGAATCAACAAGTTTAAATGAGAACAATTTGCTTTTAAAGTTGCCGTGGCCAGTAAGAAATTGGGCAACACAGTGATCCACCTCCAACCATGTCCTCTCCAGCCGCTCATGCACGGATGGGAAGAACTGATATAGGTGGCGGCCCTTAATAGAAGATGCCCATCTACCCTGCCATTCAGTTATAAGCTCATCCCAGACGTCCGTTATTGGCTTAAACAATCTAGCAATTTTATTTCTATCACGTTGTGCTAGAAAGCTTGCTGACAAATTAGGTCTCGCACTGTAGTACATAGCAGCACGTCGCTGCACCTCAAGATCTACCGGAAGTACGCCCGCGAGCACAGGTAGGGCTTCAGTGCTAATGGTTGTATCGACTGTCGATCCTGACTTACAGAAGTTGTAGTGGTTTAGGGAGGTTGTAGCGGGCTTGTCCCAAAAATTTCAGAACCAAAAGGTCGGCAACGCGCTAACTCCTCTAATGTTCCAGGTGCGCATAGGCGACACCGATTGCTTACCATCAGGTGATCCATCTGCTCGTTTGCACTGTACCATATGATGGTGGGTCGGGGTTACCCATGGAGCACTAGCGGCGTTACAAATGTCTTGATAGCCTATTGGGGATTAGGATTAGGGGGAATGGCCCTCCGGTAACCTCAATCACACAGCTGTACGCAACGCTTCAGTTGTTTCACGGCGGTTTTCTGTTCAGTCGTAGTATCATTTTGGTCAAGCCGGGCGAGCAGTGCCGAAGCATGGTGAACCCACAATATGAAATGGGTAGGCGGCCAATATCTCGTCTAGTGGTAAGCAATGATGCAGCCTACGATGGAGCACGGGTACATAAGTATCTAGTTGTCAACTACCGTATTGATTTATATTCTCTCTCCTTTAGTCCCAGTACAATATAGCCAGCAGATGCCCTGTCAGGTCGCTGTGGGTCCTTAGAAGCAGTGCTGGTGACTGCTAACGTGGCCTTCGTGCCGAAGCATGGCTCTCACACATATGTTTTGAAACAGTAAAAGGCCACTTACCACTATATTTTATAGGGAGGGGGATGAGAGAGTCGTTGGACCTCTCCGGAGGTCCGTCACTCAGGTGCCTCCGAGCCTCATCTACTAAGTTATCGTAGATCGCCAATAAATTCACGTTGACTGCGTTTAAGGCTGCCTGTAAGAAGTTAATGAACAATTTATTGTTTTTATTATAACTTTCGTGACACATAATAAATTATTTATTCTATTTTATTCTATTTTCGGATTACACACGTAACTGTTTGCCATGCTCATATTCAGTAGCAGCGTGACAGACGCCGCGTCGCGAGTCGCGGAATGCTGCTCATGAACATAAGCCTCTAGCATTGCTTGAAACTAGTCGAGTTCCTCGTCAAACAGTTAGGTAAGTAAGCCGAAAACATAAGTAGCCTCACGCATACGACGAAACATAATGTTATGGTTGTTTCACTTCGGTTTCTTGCTCGGCCGTGGTATTACTCCGGTCGAGCCTGCTCAGCAGTACTGAAGCATGGCTGTTAAACACTTATCAAGATGAGAAGGAGGACTTACTTCTAGAGTGTTCCAAGCGCTCCTGGTGTACGTAGTAGGATCTACAGCAACTACAGTGTTGGGTCGCATGTTGGTGACCAACCATTGCTGTAGAGATGCGTCCACTCCTGCGACCAATGTCAATAGTTGGTGAATTCATGTGAGGTGTTTGACAATGTCTGTTGATTATGTCATGAAGTATAGAAACTTTTTTTTCCTAACAATAGTTAAATCTCCATTTATCCTGTGTCTTAAGTGCGTTTACAAACATATATATTTCATCAGTTTAAAGATATAATTATATATTTCATATCTATCATATATTTTTACTTTTTTATCTTATACTAGCTGAGCCAGCGACTTCGTCCGCGTGGAATAGATTCACAAGCCCTCCCTCGTAGTTGATAGCATGATAATATGTAGCCTATATAGTGAACCGACCTGAAAAATTCTAAAAACCATATTTTTGGTTTCGGTATCGACTGTAGATAACGCCCAAAGCGTTATTTAAAAAAATATTCGATGTACAGTTTTCAATTTCCTACAATTTTATTATATTTATAGATTTCATATTAAGCAGAAAAGTTTGTTTGTTTGATGACGCTAAATCTCCGGAACTAATTAATGGTCCGATTTATTGTTAATTTACTAGATTACTTGTGTAATAGTGTGTACCATCCTACATTGTAAGGAGAAAAATAACCTGTGTGTATAATAAAATAGGAATTCAAAGACTTAAAATAGGTGCGTTAGCCTGCATAGTAATTTTCATATCATGTTTCTTGTAAACTGACCGTGTTTGTTGACTGACTGTATGCTTTGTAATGTTAATAAAGAAATTATAAATAAAAATCCAGACCCGTGACATAAAAGATAGGAAGTACCATGCCCGATTTCAAGAACCTCTTAAATTTTAGGGAGCCCATAAGCTAAGGCAGATGACACTTAACGATATTTTGGTTTTCACCAACCTATAAATGTCATCTAACGTTAAATAAATTAGGGGGGCTAGTCTACGCCCTCCCTTCCGCTAAGTAAATCTTAGTTAAGAGATTGTTTAGGGGTAGATGGTGAAAACGACCATCACTCTGTCGGCTAGCCCCGTAGTGAAGCTACTTGCTCATTCTGGGTAAAATGTATGCAACTATAATATCCATAATGTATGCAGAAAAACGAGCAAGAAACTCCATAGATTATTATGTATTTTTAATTTCAAAATGCATTGAACCGAACTAACCTTGCCTCATCAGCTTCCACAGGGTTCCATCGACCTCTTCCTCGAATTGCGTCCAGTATCTCGCATCAGTCCACACCAGGGCCTCGTTGGCAGTCACCAGTGCTGTTCCCGAGGATCCACGGAGACCAGACAGCCACTCTCTACGGGCATCCGCTGGCGATATGTACTGGGACTAAAAGCGAAATAATATAAATTATAACGGTAGTTTACGTCAGTTATATCGTCGAAAAAAAACAATAAAACATGTGCTTTTGCCAACTCAGTAATCGAAGTCGAGACCCCATACTCAGCAGCCACGTTTGCGACCCCAACAGAATCGACGTAGACGAGTGGAGATTGAGGAGCAACACTTTTTAGTGTTAGAGAAACACTTTTTAGACCATAACCTTTGGACACCGATGATTGGTGTCACCTATGGGCCATATAAGTGACTTACCATTAGGTGGTTAGTTTGCTTGTTTGGTGGTCTATACATGCTGCCACCCTGTTTCTTTTATTTTGCTTTTTATAATGTTTTTTTGCCTTCATTGTTTTTTTTACTGCTGTTTTTTTTTGTTTTTTTTTATTGTGTTCTTATAGTTTTTCTATTTTTATTTTTGTTTTTCAATGTTTATTTTGTGTGTTAATATTCGGTGGTTAATAAATTATTTTTCTTTCTTTCTGTCTTTCAGAACAAAGGCTGTTCGGCAAACAAATTTGAGAGGTTTCCACACATTTGCTACATGTTTCTGTTTGTCACTTTATTTGTTGTTTGGAATTTGTGGCAAACATCATGCGTGAGGACGGGGATAAAAAATAACTTACATTATGAGCGTCTGCGGTAGGTACAATGTAGGCGTCGACTCTCATTGCTTCCATAACTTCTCGCACGGCTTTGAGGCGGTCAGCAGCAGTCTCAGAACTCATTTTGACCCCAGGGACACCGCTCACTAAAAACAAATTAAAATTATTAACGTCGTACTCAGACAAAAATATATTATATACATATTACTCAACCCAGTACAGCTTGGCAAAAAAAATTATACGCTGTGACAGCCGGAACTAATATTGATTTGGACTGAATCACCCACTTCGGACCACATCCCATGAATAAACAATCATCCGAACACAGTACCTCCTCTTTTTAAACTCGATAAAAATAACAAATATCAAAACCGGTTGAGTCGTTGTGTACCAGGTTGCCACAGGTACGATACTAGCGACCTCTATTATTACAAACTCTTTTTTGCCAAACTGTACTTACTTAGCATTTGTTATTAGAAAAATCTGTTACTAAAGAATAGTTTAAAATCTATTTATGGAATGGGTTAGTATACGAGCAGTATTCTCCCTAAACCCCACATCTCGAAAAGACAGGCAACGGAATTGTAACACCTCTAGTGTTTCAGGTGTCCATGGGTAACGCTGATTGCTTACCATCAGGTGATCCGTCTACTCGTTCGCTAAGTTTTGTCGTGAAAGAGCTTCAAACTATACATACGTCACATAACATAACATCACGCCTTTTATCCCCGAAGGGGTAGGCAGAGGTGCACTTAATGCCACTGTACAATGTAACACCCACTTTTCACTCTTTATGTTATGAGTCCCATGTAATAGGGGTGAGCCTATTGCCATATACCTGGTACAATTCCAGACTCCGTGCAGCTACTGAGAGTGTTTTAAAAAACCAACCCAGTAGTATTTTACCCGGGTATCGAACCCGAGACCTTTGCACGGCAGTCGCACTTGCGACCACTCGGCCAATGAGGCAATCATGCAGACATACATCCTCACAAACATTCGCATTGTTAATAATGTATATTATCAGGGTTATCATATAAAGAAACGATATATTCATACCGTAAATTGGCGTATCGGGCTCGGCAGAGTTGTAATACGGTATGTGACCCCATACTGCGTTTGCTGTCAATCTGAAAAATCAAACACAAATGAAATCGTCTGTAAATACCGGGATCCCTTCTTTTCGTATATTTTTTTTTATGGGATAAGCCGGTAAACGAGCAGATGGATTACCTGATGGTAATATGGCATCCGATACCCTCACTCACACGACGAAATACAACACAACGTTGTTTCACTATGGTCTTCTGCTCGGCTGTGGTATCACTCTGGTCGAGCCGGCCCATTCATGCCGAAGCATGGCTCTCACACACTTAGTGTTCTTCGTCACAATATACTTCGGCATAACGATTTTGGCACAACAAAATATAATGACTATTAGCAAACCGTAACAGGCCTAGGGTTTCTGGTAACGACAGTCGCTAGACTAGGTAGCAGCGCGACAGTCGTCGCGTCGCGGGTCGCGAAATGCTGCTCATGAATATGAGCCTCTAGCATGGCTTGAAACTAGTCGAGTTCGTCGTCAAATTATTACGTGAGTAAGCCGAAAATATAACAATTTATTTAGTATGTCTCACGAAAGTTACAATACAAATTAAATGGTTGGTTTAAAATTTAATATGCTGTGCAATAAAAGTTAGTGACAGGACCGAATTGCTGCAAAGAAACCTTGCCTGCAATGCCTGCTGCCTGTTGCTTGCCAGCTTGAATGCTGAATGCTGCATACATGCTTAAATATCATTAAGCGTACATCAATATATGCTTAGAATATTATGCATAATCATTATTATGGTTAGAGAAATTATGCTTAAAAAAATAAGCTGTTATGCGAAGTTATGTTATGCGAAAATATAATTATGCCTATCAAAATTATGCTAAGTTATCTTCTCTTCTCCATCGCTTGCTTCATTTCTGAAGGTCGTGCCCCTGAAAGGCTTTCATTGCTCTCTGTGTTATTTCCCTCCATCTTGTCCTGTTTTCTTCTTCTGTTTCTAAGTTATATTAGGTTTTTATGCAAATGGATAGGGATCCATAAAACCCATTCACAAATTTATAATCCTTACTAATATTATAAATCGGAAAGTGAGTTTGTTTGTTTGTTCCGCTTTCACGCCGTAACGACTAAACCGATTGCTTTGAATTTTTGCAGACGTAAAGTTAGAAGTCCGGATTAAATAATAGGGTACGGTTTATCCCGGAAAAATTTGATATTCCCAAGGGAAAACAAAAGTGTTGGTTTAGATGGCGCTGTATGAATTGGTATATTTCACATAGGCTACTTTCATCCTTTTGTGACGCGAGCGAAGCCGCGAGTAAAAGCTAGTTTATAATATTAATAATACTAGTTAACTTGCTAACAGCTTCGCTCGCGTTCATGTACATGTTTGTTACTCAATCATGTTAAAACAGCTGAATGGATTGGGATGAAATTTGAAACAGGGATAGATTATGATATAGAATAACACATTGGGTACTTTTTATCCTTCGGGACCGCGGGCAAAACCGCTGACAGAAGCTTGTTTCTTGTAACATTGGTACGATTATATTATTATGTACTTACATAAAAAATACTGTATAAATCCAACCTCGTAACACCGCCATCTTTCTCGCAATGATTGTGATAAAAACATAATATATTTATCAATCCAAATTATTACCTTTATCAATACAATTATTATTTATCTAAAACTATTTGATGATAATATTAGATTAAGATAATTTATGAATTATTGGATTAGGTGTAGGTGTGAAGCAGGATTTTTTTACTTATTACGTAGGTTAGGTATATATGCTGAATAGTCCTTGAGCTAAATAACACTGCATTTAAAAAAATACATTGCCCCCTCTAGGATTTCCTCTGTTGTCGTGTGTGCGTTTACAAAGATAACTATGACAATGTCTCAAACAGGTTGATAAAAAATAATTTGACGCAGTGAAAGATGGAACTATAGTGACTTGGACTGAATCACCCACTTCGGACCACATCCCATGAATAAACAATCATCCGAACATAGTACCTCCTCTTTTTAAACTCGATAAAAATAACAAATATCAAAACCGGTTGAGTCGTAGTGTACCAGGTTGCCACAGGTACGATACTAGCGACCTCTATTATTACAAACTCGTTTCTTGCCAAGCTGTAATTTATGTGGCACTCTCACACTAAAAATTATCTTTTTTTCTAACTCTCTAAGAGCCTTGCTTCAGCACGTATATGTCTGTTTGACCGGAGTGATAACACGGCCTCACAAGAAACCGACGTGAACCAACGCTTGTATTGTGTTTCGTCGTGTGAGTGAGGTTACCGGAGGCCCAATTACTGCCCCACCCCAGTCTCCCCAATCCCCGAATCCTCCACAAACCTCAAATTCCCAATGGGGTAGACGACTAATTTTTATTTTAATGTCCGTCTGATAGATTATTTAAAAACATTAGACACGTATTTTTTATTTTCTCACAGAAACGAATAGTTTCGAAGATATATTGATTTGAAATGTCGCGTGACGTCACTTCTCAGTACATTTTATACTAAGGAATGACGTTTTAGCCCCCAATCCTAAACTTTGATTCGTTTTATCTAAGTATTGTTTTATTATACGACAAAATAAAAAAATACGTGTCTAATATTTTTTCATTACCTAACTTACGGACTAATTATATTTTTAATTTTCATACCCTGTCATCATCCCCATTCCCAAAAGGCCGGTAATGCTTGTTTTTTTTTATCTGTCGATTTTATCATCACTTCTTTTACGTCGTCACGACTTAGATATATAAAATATTATCTACTTTTTAGCGAAAGGTCATAAAAGAAATTCGTTTTAATTGACCTTGATTATAACTGAGATGCAATAATTTTTAGAATAGGAATCATGACAGTGTATGAAAATTAAAAATATAATTAGTCCGTAAGTTAGGTAATGAAAAAATATTAGACACGTATTTATTTTTTCGTTTGTCGTATATTAAAATGATACTTAGATAAAACGAATCAAAGTTTAGGAGTGGGGGCTAAAACGTCATTTCTACGTATAAAATGTACATAGAAGTGACGTCCCGCGACATTTCAAATCAATATATCGTCGAAAGTATTCGATTCGACTAATGATTTGAAATAATCTACCAGACGGACATTAAAATAAAAATTAGGCATTATTGCGTACTTTTCTGAGTAAAAAATAAATGGTTTTGACTTTTCAATTACCTAATGAAATAAAAGAAACAAATAATCATACTTCAATTAATCGATAAGATGATGTGAATTACTTAAATATTTTCGTATTTGTCTGTATCGTATTCGTCTCCCCGAAGGGGAAGGCAGAAGTGAACATTACGGTACTTAATGCCACTGTACAATGTAACACCCACTTTTCAGTATTTATGTTATGAGTCCCATGTAATAGGTGGTGAGCCTATTGCCATATACCGGGCACAATTCCAGACTCCGTGCTACTACTGAGATTATTATTTTCAAAACACCCAGTATTACTTAAAAAATACGTACCAATAATAAACTGTAAAAAAGACGTAATACGAAACGACAGATACACACAAAATAAAACCAACAAAATGTATTTTACGTTTTATTAAAATTTAACAATAAAATTATCCAAAAATATACAAACAATATACATACAATTTTCACAATATAGAAATTATATACTTGTCTTTTATTGTGGTTAGAATATTATAATTGCCTGCTTACAATAAACATTTTGGAAAAACAAATGTGGTATTACTGAAGTGCGGCTCGACCGGAGTAATACCACGGCCGAGCAGAAAACCATAGTGACACAACGCTTGCGCTGTGCTTAGTCGTATGAGTGAGGTTATGGCATAAGCCAGTAAACGAGCAGATGGGTCACCTGATGGTAAGCAATCGGCGTCGCCCATGGACAACTGGAACACCAGAGGCGTTACAAGTGCGCTACTGGCCGTTTGGGGATTAGGAACTTGAGGATTATTGGGGATTCAGGGATTAGGGTGATAGGGAAAGACGGAGGGGAGCTCCGGTAACCTCACTCACACGACGAAACACAACGCAACCGTTGTTTCACTATAGTTGTCTGCTCGGCCGTGGTATCACTCCGGTCGAGCCGGCCCATTCGTACCGAAGCATGACTCTCACACACTTAAAGTAGTACATAAATAAAAAAAGTTAAACTTATATCTATAAATTATAACAAATACATAAAAAAGGGACATTATAGATATTCGTAAAATCACATTTACTTAACTCCAATGAAGTAAGCAAAGACTTACTTGCAGTTTTATAAAGAGCACCCTTTATTTACAAGTATACAGAGCAAATATGAATGGGGCCGTCGGTAGAGGGCGCCCTACACGGACATATACTGACCAAATTGGCGATATATTAAAGAAGGGCCAAATTAAAAGTACCCTTAACCGCCGAGTGTACATGAAAAGACCGATGACTGTTGATGAAGCGAAAGAGGTATGTAGGAATCGTAGTAATTGGCATTCCATAATCTCTGCCTACCCCCATGGGAGACTGGCCTGAAGTTATCTATATGTAGAGACTCTAACAATCTGGAGAAGCTTGTGGTTGTTGGTCAGATTAACGGGAAAAGACCTTGTGGTCGCTCACCTACCCGGTGGTTGGATGCTGTCAATAACCTAACCGGCCTGACAGTTCCACAAGCCATAAAGACCGCAGAGGACAGGGGCGTTTGGAGGAGGGTTGTGCATCAAGAGACGCGTGCACCAGACTAGACACGACCTTAAGTAATGAAGAAAACGACTAGGAAGAATAAGTATGTATACACTTTTGTAGCTTCTAATCTTATTTAACGCCCGAATATTGAAGGACTCCTAAATTTGAAGTCATACTTAAATATCGTGCCATCTATGTCATTTTACAAAGAATTTGTAGTGACAGAACTATACTTAAGCGCGACTAAGGATAGGGTAGTTGTGGCAAAATTTTATTTTTAATATCGGTCTGGTAGATTAATTTAAAACATTAGACACGTATTTATTCTTTTCTCACAAAATTAAATACTTTCGACGATATATTGATTTGAAATGATGTCACAGTGTGCTACATTTTGTAGCACTTAGTGACGTAACGACCTTCCACTCCTAAACATAAATCCATTTTATCTAAGTATTATAACTTTATATGAAAAAATAAAAAAAATACGTGTCTAATATTTTTTCATTATCTAACTGACGGACTAATTAGATTTTTAATTTTCACTCCCTGGTAACTAACCTATTGAGTGGCATTTCAGTATTCGGGCATTATAGTATTATATAGAGCTGGAGAATTTATTTGTTTGTTTGTTTAATCTCAGGAAATATTGAGCCGATTTGAAAAAATATTTTTGTGTCGTATAGTGCATTTATCAAGGAAGGCTATAGGCCATAAAACATCACGCTACGACCAATAGGAGCTAAGCAGAGTGGGTGAAACTGCGCGGAAGTATTTATAATATAAAGTATATTGGATTAGAAGTTAACCTATTGCCATATAACGAATACAATTCTAAACTCTATGCATATTTTACATTATTTCTATTATTAAATAAGCAACGAATTACACATAAAATCATAATTTCAACAACAAAAAATTTCAAACAATGTTTTCTCTAACCACAGCAAGGCCTTTGAGGCATTGAAAACAATAACTCCATTTTACATACAAAAATAATAAAAAAATAAACAATCAACTGCTCTGCTTATCCTGTTTTAGTATACAGGGAAGTTGTTATCAACTTGCTCAGCCCAGGCGTGGAGTCCACCGGTCATATCTTTGACTTTGCCCCGGTGTACCTCAGGGAGCCGATCTAGGACCAATTTTGCAGCGATTTGGGAATCATTGCCACGACGACAGATGAATATTACTGGAAAGAAATGGAGAAAGGTTTAAAATATAAGCAATCGTTTTTCAACCAACTAAGAAAATTTATAAGAACAGTTTATGGCCAAACGTTGACCTATCAAGTATAAAAATTTGCCATGATCTTCACACTTTTGTCAGGGGCTTAGAGATTGCAGTCTAAAATGACTACAAGAATAGCGGTGCTGTCGCTATCTTATAAAAAGCTAAAGACTGTTAGTCTTTAATAATTATTTTTGTCTTCGATAATGCATTTATCCAGGAAGAAGATAAGCTATGAAACTTCACGCTACAATCAAAAGGCGCTGAGCAAAGAGGGCGAAACCGCGCGGAAGGAAATATGCCAAGGTCAAAATCATTTATTTCAATTAGACCAGGATGGCACTTTTGAACGTCAAACAACAAAAATTTAGAAGTGAAGCTAGTTGCTCATTCCAAGGTGTAGATTCCTATGGAGAAGAACAAGCAAGAAACTCCATAGCTTACACTTTTTCAATAGGGTTCGCAAAGAAAATTTTAAAAGAAATGAACTTACCAGGTTCCTGTCTCTCTTCCACCTGCCCCACGAGCTTATCCAAATTAGATCCTCTTAGGCTATCTATAGGTCTATTTTCTGTGTCCGCAATATGGCACATCTGAAATTCAGGACTAGCCCTAACGTCTATCACAAAAGGCGATCCCTTTTCTATTAATTCTGAAACTTCAGTCGCTGTAATTCTATTTTCTTGAGGAAGAATCTTCAAGGATAGATCCTGGAAAGAAAATTGCTTTTAAAAAAATTGGTTGCCTGTAAAGTCGGTATACGGGCGAAAGTTTTACGTGACAACGACTTTGAGTGGTAAAATAATTTTAATGTGAATATTCATTCGTATGCCTATCTCTCTCACTCTCTCTCTCTCGCTCTGTCTCTCTCGCTCTTAGGCGGGCTAACTGTGCTCGAGTGAAAGCGACGCGTGCCTTTCACTTTTTATGTCTGTGTCTCTCGCTCTTAGGCGGGCTAACCATGCCCGAGTGGAAGGGACGCGTGCCTCTCACTCGCTCTCATTGTGAGCGGAGCGTAACGCAGTTTCTTGAAGTGTCTCCCGGCAAACCAATTTATAAGACGTTGTCACGTCAAAATTTGACTGAATAGTAGATGCGTGACCTGGGTAACGTGTTTGTGTGATCCACAAATTGTTGTTTCGGGTCTGTGTGTCATGTGTATGTGAACTTGTATGTTTGTAAACGCACCCACGACACAGGAGATAATCCTAGGGTCGGCAAGGCGCACGTAATGCCCCAAGTATTACAAGCATATAATGGTAACCGCTTACCATCAGGTAGACCGTGTGTTTTTCTTGTCACTGTCGTGGTATAAAAAAAAATTAAGACGTATGAGAGAGATGGAAGAAAAATGTGGCAGTCCAAGAAATAAAAACAATTGTATTTCGTTTCAAAAAATATATTATTATAGTTTATTCACAGTATTAAAATATAATACAATTTTTTTTTTAAGGGGGGAAAATCATCGAATGACTGCTCCCGCCTGGGTGAGGCGGGAGGGAGTGTCAGACTCTTACTGACTAAAAACCACCCCGTTCCTTCTCCTGCACGTCGAGCCGGAGCCCCGGTAACCCGTTAGGTTCTCCGCGACAAATATAATACAATAATATGAGTAAAATGCATAATAAAACATCTGCACTATTAAAGCTATAAAGGTTCGTTTGTTTGAGCTAATCTCTGAAAGTCGCGGAGAACCTAACGGGTTACCGGGGCTCCGGCTCGACGTGCAGGAGAAGGAACGGGGTGGTTTTTAGCCAGTAAGAGTCTGACACTCCCTCCCGTCTCACCCAGGCGGGAGCATTGAGTCATTCGATGATTTTCCCCCTTAAAAAAAAATCTCTAAAAGTACCAGTACGTTTCCTGAAAAAGTATTTCTTTTTGTATAAATATTAAACCCAAAACCCAACATTATACTATACCCAAAGGTTGTCTGGTAGAAATCACTACAAGTGATAAGACCGCCTTTGTGCTTATTTTTTTTTTATATAAGTTGGTCATCTCTGTTCCACTGCCAAGCCAACTAGTGGCGACAGCGGAAACTAACCTACGGCGGGAACATCGTGCAATCGTACCGCTAGTGGCAGCTCCGTCGTAACTAACTTTACTCGACAAATTCATGTAAGACCGTGTGGTCGTTTACGTTTACGAAACTTTATTGTAATTTTAAGTAAATATAACACAATTAATTTTGAAAGAACAATAAAGTACTTCATTTAATTCATCCCTGCCCTCTATCGCATAGGGACTTAGGGAATGTTAAGAAGAATTTTCTTTTTCTGTATGTACCTACTATATTATTAATGATGTACAATAAAGATTATTCCATTCTATTCTAATCTAAACTTTGGCTTTATATAATAGCCGTGAAATTGTTATAATAAAAATAATATTTTGAAAATAACAAGTTACACACTGACATTCTTATTGTTTGATTAGCTGTTGCCCGCGACTTGGTCCGCGTAGAATATGAATTTTAGAACATAACTTTTTTTTGTTACAATTTTCCAACATATTGTAGCTTATGTTACTTCTTAGTACATCAGGTACCTGCCAATAATAGTCTTGCAAAATCGGTCCAGCCATTTCAGAGATTAGCCAGTACAAAAATGTAGTTTTTTTTACAATTTTTGTTTGTATGTATTTTCATATGCATGTAGTAAAAAGTAGTTATTATTATGCATATTACAAACAGACACACAAATTTTATTGATCTGTATAGATATTCAAAACAGCTGATCAAAATGATATTGACTTTTTTTAAAGGACAAGCTCGCCACAACCTCCCAAATCCACTGCAACTCCTGTACATCAGGATCTACAGTAGATACAACTATGAAAACACTGAAGTCCAACGTCTCAGGGACATGAGTAACTGTCTTGGTTCCCGCAACGAAGTGAATCAGAAGATATTATAAGAGTAGAAAAAAACGATAGTTTCCACTTCCCTCGGTGAATTACTGCAGGAGACAGAGTGAATTAAGCCTAACAAAAAAGAGACTGTACAACTGGGTGAAGCCCAGTCGCGAAGCACCACGGAAAATTGACTAAAACTAAGTGGGTCCTATGTGTGAGTTGTTATACTTGCTTCCAATAATAGGAATGACAAAAGTACCAAAAACTTTGACTTTGTTTCTAAGAAAACCGACGTGAAACAAGGCTTGTGTTGTGTTTAGTCATGTGAGTGAGGTTACTGGAGGCCCAATTACCTCTCTCTCAATCTCCCTCAATCTACGAATCCCCAACAATCCTCAAATACCTAACCTCGTTAAGGCCGGTAACGAACATGTAACCGTTCCGTGTGTCCATGGGCGACGCCGATTGCTTACCATCAGGTGATCCGTCTGCTCGTTTACCGGCTTATCCAATAAAAAAGTCAAGTCCACTGTCCTTCAAGATCAACATTTTGATAATAATCGTCATTAAAAGTAAAATTCATAGAATTATTATGTTCTTTAACCAAATCGCATACATCGCTATCATTGTTCGGTTTGAAAATCCTCAAATTTTTTACATAAAGAACTTTCGAGAACGTCTTCCTTGAAACCGGTTTCATATCTTTCGAAATAACATCTTTAACGTACATTTTATATAAAACAAATTGATTCTTTACGTTTATGTTTATATATTTAACATTTGAACCTAAATTCACACACATCTGACATTTCGAACCGATTATTGGTAACTTATCGATATAATCGATTAAGTTTTGCGATTTGAATCGGTTTTTTACGGTTTTTCTCATCGGTTTTTGGGCCAACCAACTTCTGACCATCGCTTCTTTGATACCTAGGGTGTTCAAAAACATAACTCTACAAACTTGAACTTTTTCAGTTTTAAAATACAAGTTATACATTTTAGAATCCAATTTTCTACATTGTAAATTTTTTACACATAATCTTCTTCGTTTAATCGGCACAAGATCTATTAAAGAACGAACATAATTCTTCTTCGCTACCCATTCTAGCTTCCAGAAGCTCTGAAAAATATCCATTCTATCCAATTCCGTAAACTTCTTGCAATATCTTCTATTACTTCTAGAACAGAAGTCGGAATTACAAGGAGGGCCTAATCTTCTTTCTGATTTTTGGACGTCTTGTATCCATTTGTTCTTTGTTCCTTCTTTTTGTGTTCTGAAACCAAAATAACTCTGTCCTGTCATTCGTTTTTGTTTTTCTTCTATTCTTCTCTCTGTTCTCAATCTCGCTTCGTGTTTCTTCTGGAAAAGAGGAGACGGAGTTGTGATTCTTATTGCTAATTAAGCTAAAATTACGGGGAAGAGTCATCGTTTAGCATGAATGGACCGGTTCGACCGGAGTGATACCACGGCCGAACAGGAAATCGCCGTGAATCAACGCTTACTCAAGCATTGTTTTACACCCAATGGAAAAGAGGTTAAATGAAAAGTTAAGCTGCTTTACAAAATATACCCACTATAAAGAAAAGAGTGTCAACACCGCGAATGTTGCCAGACTAAGCAAAATCATAAAATAAAATCAAAGTTATAGCCAATTAAATGATAATAAAAAACACAAACGATTAAACTAAAAACCGCGGGGTATTCACGTGAATATACTGAGAAAAGCTCTACTAGTTTCTACTAGCTGTATGCACGACATCGCCGCGACCACGCACGCTGCTCATGAGGAAGAACCCCTCTGTAGTTCGAAACTAGTAGACCATTTTCTCACTATATTCACGTGAGTAACCCGCGATTTATAGTAAAAACACAAAATTTTGATAATAAACTTACCTTTGAACATTCGCAGTTTTGATTTTTTTTTCTTTTTTGCACACTTTTTGTAATAAAACGCATGCAAAACGGGGTCAAGCAGACAATCTTTACATACATAATTCGTCTGTGAGTGTGTCTGTGAATGTCACTGAACTTCTCTCAAACGACTGGACCGATTTAGATGAAATTTTTTGTGTGTGTTCAAGGGGATCTGGGAATGGTTTAGATTCACAAATCAGCCCGGCAGATGGCGCTGCAGTCGATGTATAGGTTATTTATCCTAAACAGCTGAACTAATTTGAATGAATTTTTGTTTATACATTCAAGTGGACATGCAGGACAACGTCTGTTGGGTCCGCTAGTAAATGTATTAAACTGAAGATTTTGTTTGTTTCAACACGCTAATCTTCGGAAATACTGGTTCGAATTGAATAAAAAGTTTGTGTCTGTCTGTATATTTGTTCATCAAACACGTCAAAACGGGTGAAGGGACCGGGATGATATTTGGAACAGGGTTACATTATGGTTTGGAATAACACATAGGCTTGATAATAAAATTAATTTTTTAAACATTGCCCCACACTAGAATTTTCTCCTGTGTCGTGGGTGCGTTTACAAACATACAAGTTCACATACACATGACACCCAGACCCGGAACAACAATCTGTGGATCATACAAAGAGTTGTTCAGTGCGGGAATCGAACCAGCGACGAGTTGCGCGGCCGCCAGTTGCTCAGCCATCGCGCCGACCATGCAGTCATGCAGTTATTGCTAAATAGATATGTGGTAATCTTCACGCCTTTTTATCCCCGAAGGGGTAGGCAGAGGTGCACATTATGCCATTGTACAATGTAACACCCACTTTTCACTATTTATGTTATGAGTCCCATGTAATGGGGGGTGAGCCAATTGCCATATACCGGGCACAATTCCAGACTCCGTGCTACTACTGAGAGTTTTTTAAAAACCCAGTGATACTTTGCCCGACCCGGGAATCGAACCAGAGACCCCTTGCCCGGCAGTCGCACTTGCGACCACTCGGTCAACGAGGCAGTCAGTGTTAAATCTACTATTTTATTAATTCATGTGTTTTAAATAATAAAGGTACCTTATCATTAGCGGGGGCTGAGCAGTAAGCTTCATAGTCGACTAGTTGCGTCACAGTAGGATTGTCTGAGCACGTCGCACATGTAGGATTGCGTTTGCGGAGACGAACTAGAAATATAATAAATAAAATTAAGAAGTTTATAGAAAGGACGTTGAAAAACGGTGGACATACATACATAATAATAGGCCACGCCCCACCCAAAATGCACCCACGACACATGAGAATCCTAGTGTGGGGCAATGAATCGATACTTCATTTCATTTTTATACATGTTGCTTATTAGCTTTCGCTCGCGGCTATGCCCGTATTGCCGCGAGATAAAAAGCCTATATGTTATACCAGACCACAATCTATCCCAGTTCCCCTCGCTCCGCATCATGACCCATACTATGCAGGAGTAGGAACGAGGTGGATTCTACACAGTAAGAGTCTGAAACTCCCTCCCACCTCACCCGGGCGGCAGAAATCATTCGTTGATTTTTTCCCCTTAAAGAAAACTATGTTCGGATGATTGTTTATTCATGGGATATGGTCCGAAGTGGGTGATTCAGTCCAAGTCTATATTAGTTGCAGTTGTCACCGCGTCAAAATCGTTTTCGCCAAGTACGTACACAATATACAAGGTGTAGTTTTGAAGCCGTGTCATTTCTCGGGGGCATGTCACAGAAGTCATAAAGGTTCAATGTAAGAGAAAATTTCGGGCCAATAGTTAAAAATACGGCTATAATAAATCGTGTAAGTTGGACAGTATTTCAGAATAAGCGACAGCAATGTTTCTCATTGGAGTTTTATGGAATTAGGAATAATATTAATTACGTTTTTGAGTTTGTGTGTGTTATGCCGCGTTATACAGCTTGTACGGTTTCATAACCGTACATAGCACGTATAGTCGACGCAGCAATATTGAATGCGCGTCACCCAATGCATAGCATATATAATTTAGCGTATTACATTAATCGTGGTAGTAGTACTTTATCTACCAACCAACGTCAAGCAAAGAAATACGACAACGTTATTTGTAACTATTACCAAACTCAATATATGCAACTAGCAACTAGAACTTGTGATCTTTTCTGTGAGCTACTACACCTTCTACAACCACAAACTACAGTGTAAGGATCTAACTGGACCTTACACAGCTAGTTACAAGACGGCGGCGTGTAGTTCACACTTACGGATTTGCGTAATTTACAGAAAAATGAAAAAAATTACCACACATTTTTTTATTGATTTGGACTTAGAATCGATAGCCGAGTTACCTCCTAGAAAATGACGCGGCTTACTAAGTACACTCACCAGTTCTAGTAGTCATATCTTCTGCGTCGAATATCAACATTCTTTCAACAAGCAACTTGTCCGGTGACATATCTAGAATTATTTTCAGAGCCTCCATAGCTTGTAAGATACCTGCAACAAAAAATAGGGTAGAAGACTAATTTTTATTTTAATGTCCGTCTAGTAGATTATTTTAAATCATTAGACACATATTTTTTATTTTCTTACAGAAACTAATACTTTCGACGATGTATTGATTTGAAATGTCGCGTGACGCCACTTCTATGTTCATTTTATACGTAGAAATGACGTTTTAGCCCCCACTCCTAAACTTTGATTCGTTTTAACTAAGTATTGTTTTATTATACGACAAAATAATGTTTTTTCATTACCTAACTTACGGACTAATCACATTTTTAATTTTCATACCCAGTCATCGTCCCAATTGAGGCGTATTATTTCACGAAGATATCCAGGGTGTAAACAGAAGCTACCGAAAAATGCCGACAGGTGATAGTAAAAAACATATAGAGTTGGTTAACCTAATATATAAATAAAAAGAAAATAGATACGGACCCCCCCCCCCCCTTAGATGAGATTGACTTTTTGAGAGATCATTATTAACGGGACAAGCCCGCCACAACCTCCCAAAACTGCTGCAACTCCTGTAAGCCAGGATCTGCAGTAGATACAACCATGAAAACACCGGAACACTGAAGTCCAACGTCCTAGAGACATGAACAACTGCTTTGGATCCCGCAACGATATAAATAAGAAGATATTATAAGAGGAGAAGAAAAACGAACGATAAACAATTATATATTTTTGACAGAGCAGATTATATTCTCAACCCCGACGCCCGGAATGTCCTTCGCGACGGCCGGGTCTAATTTTCTCCTTAGCTAGCATGACTGCTTCGCAAAAGGAGGAGACGGCATCACTCTCCGCATCATGATTCGGACTAGGGCCGGACGCGAGAGGTTACTGTCGCCGATCACATCCCTGTGATCGACTCCGAATCGGCATTAGCCCTATTGGGCCCCATCAGTGGTGGTCTGATGGCTTTTTAAGGCGCGCGTAGTATGCGACGCACCGTACGCTCGGGACTGGTTCTGGTCGGGCGGGAAGTCACCCATGCTCGCCGTCCGCAGGCCCGCGCTTACGGTGGCCGAAGATCGTCCCGCGATACCCAACGCCCGGAGTGTCCTTCGCGACGCCTGGGTCTCGCCTCCTCCTTAGCTAGCATGACTGCTTCGCCAAAAGAGTAGACGGAATCCCTGTCCTCGTCGCTCCGCATCATGAATCGCTCTAGGTCCGTCTACTAGCCGTCGCCGATCACATCCCTGACGGCACGGCGGTGCTCAGCCCACGCAGGGAAGGATGTAAGTATAGATACACGATCGAATGGATACACTTAAATACAATCACTCACTAAGATATGATGATAGATTCATAAAAGATACTCACCTATAACTCCTGGCACTGGTCCAGCGACGCCATGAGCTGAGCAGGACCCCACTACATCCGGAGAGGGGGGCGTAGGGAACACACAGCGGTAACATGGACCCCGGTATGTGGTACCCTGCGACAATAAACTTTACTTTCAAAAGAGTAGCGACTGGAGTTTCTTGCTACTGGAGTAGCTTCACTGACGGACGGACTGATTTCAATTCAATGCTATAAATGCGATAGTAACTCTGTTTGTTTGTCTGTCTCTCCTTCACGCCTAGACCACTGAACAGATTTGGATGAAATTTGGTACAGACAGTTTGACTTTGAATTAACATAGGATGAAATCCTCTCTTTTTAAGTGTGGGAGAGCCATGCTTCGGCACAAATGGGCCGGCTCGACCGAAGTTATACCACGGCCTTACAGAAAACCGACGTGAAGCAACGCTTGCGTTGTGTTTCGTCGTGTGAGTGAGGTTACCGGATGCCAAATTACCTTCCCCTTCCCCAATCTCCCCAATCCCTGAATCCCCAACGATCCTCAAACTCCTAATTCCCAAAAGGCCGGTGACGCACTTGTAACGCCTTGGTGTTCCAGGTGTCCATGGGCGACGCCGATTGCTTACCATCAGGTGATCCGTCTGCTCGTTTACCGGCTTATGCCATAAAAAAACTTCCCAATAATCTGCCAGAAGTCACTATTCCATGCGGACAGCGGACGAAGTTGCAGGCAGAAACTAGTTCACAATAATTATTTTATAAACTACGTTTAAAAAAACCGACTTCATCGCCCCGTCTTTTTAAAGAATTAAACTGTCAAACACCGCGAGGACACCGGTGACCGCAACCTATTGTTCTTTAATTGTGTCTATAATGACGGTACTCAACGAGTTAATATACTAAAACCTTCTCCTAAGTGTAATGACAAACACTTTACTGAAAACCCCATCAAAATCGGTTCACCCAATCGCGAGTTAATCGCGAACAAACAAACAATTATACAAACAAACAATCATACGTGTTACGTATCGGTGCCGAGACATGTACCTACACCGTGATCAGCTGTGTCGCCAGGCCCAGATCTGCTGAATGAGGACATTACACTACTTTGATGCAACGAAGGTTCTACGGAGTATTGCAACATTCAAACTGCTGAGTCGTCTCCTCTTGTCGTCGCCTTGTGCCCAGCTACGAATCGCTGCATCATCGTTCACCCCACTAGATTTAACCTCAATAAAACCGTCATACTAATTTTATAATAAAGAATTTTAAGATAAGAAAGCAGTGTTGTTCTAACATCGAACGCATTCGCTTTTAGGTTAGTTAGATCTTAAGAGTTAACATGTAATTTTAATTATAATAAACTTAGTTTAATGATTATAGTGCTATGTCGTGGTGGCCCGGAGGTTTAAGACGCCCACTTCTCATGCATGAGGGTGCGGGTTCGAAACCTACCAACGGCAAGTACCAATGTGACTTTTTCCGAGTTATATGTACTTTCTAAGATTATTTAGACACCACTGACAAACGGTGAAGGAAAAACATCGTGAGGAAACCTGAACTTATAATTTATAATTATAAGTTTGAAATCGCCAACCCGCATTGAGCAAGCGTGGTGATTAATGCTCTAACCTTCTCCGTGTGAGAAGAGGCTTTGCTCAGCAGTGGGCATTTATAGGCTGTTGATGATGATGAAAATGATTATAGTTTTCATTTGCACCCTCTGTCGGTGGCAGAAACATAACTTACGAACAAACAATCATACGAACAAACAATCATACGAACAAACAATCATACGAACAAACAATCATACGAACAAACAATCATACAAACAAACAAACAAACATACGAACAAACAATCATACGAACAAACAATCATACGAACAAACAATCATACGAACAAACAATCATACAAACAAACAAACAAACATACGAACAAACAATCATACGAACAAACAATCATACGAACAAACAATCATACGAACAAACAATCATACGAACAAACAAACATACGAACAAACAATCATACGAACAAACAATCATACGAACAAACAATCATACGAACAAACAATCATACGAACAAACAATCATACGAACAAACAATCATACGAACAAACAATCATACGAACAAACAATCATACGAACAAACAATCATACGAACAAACAATCATACGAACAAACAAACATACGAACAAACAATCATACGAACAAACAATCATACGAACAAACAATCATACGAACAAACAATCATACGAACAAACAATCATACGAACAAACAAACATACAAACAAACAATCATACGAACAAACAATCATACGAACAAACAATCATACGAACAAACAATCATACGAACAAACAATCATACGAACAAACAATCATACGAACAAACAATCATACGAACAAACAATCATACGAACAAACAATCATACGAACAAACAATCATACGAACAAACAATCATACGAACAAACAAACATACAGAGGCCTTAGTACGAGTTTGTTTTACGTTTAAGGTAATCGAAACGAGGACGCGTTCGGCGCTGTGATTGGCCGGCTCTAATGAACCAACCAATCAGAGCGCCGAACGCTTACTCGTTACGATTACTTTAAACGTAAAACCTACTCGTACTAACGCCTCAGATCAAATTGAGAACCTCCTTTTTTAAAGTCGGTTAATAAATGAGATCTTACCTTGTCATCTTTATGAGATTCGCTTCTATATCCGTATATCGTTAGTTGACCCTCCATTTTGAGAGCACTGCCCGAGATTAGGGGCTTCTGTAAACGATAATATAACATTATTTGTTATTCTTCGTTAATCCAGTGGCTAAAAGCGCGACTGTCAAGAACTCTACTCTATTTACCGACAGTTCTGAGTGATGACACAACTATACAAGCACACAAACTGCTATTTGCTGCGGACAGATGTACTCGCACCTTTGTGGCTTGTTTATGAATGCCAGACCACGCTATACTTTGCAATGCTACGCTATGCTGTGCTATGGCATGCTATACCGTTCTGTGATGTGCTGTGCTATGCCATGCCACGCCACGCAATGCTAACGCAATGCTAATGCAATTCTAAAGCAATTCTAAAGCAATACTAATGCAATGATAACGTAATGCTAATGCAATGCTAATGCAATGCTAATGCAATACTAACGCAATGGTAACGCAATGCTAATGCAATGCTAATGCAATGCTAAAGCAATGCTAACGCAATGCTAATGCAATGCTAATGCAATGCTAATGCAATGCTAATGCAATGCTAATGCAATGCTAATGCAATGCTAATGCAATGCTAATGCAATGCTAATGGAATGCTAATGCAATGCTTTGCTAGGCTACGATATGCTACGCTGCAAAATATAACGTACCTTAATAAAACAGGTTAGATCACTCAACATATACCGTGTGGGTACATTGTCAGTACAATCCAGTATGATGTCGTACTGTGAAGCAATGTCCGTCGCGTTCTTAGAGTCCAGTTGTAAATTATACGGGGTCACTTTGATGCGGGAGTTTATACTGAAATGGTAAAATGAATATATCTTATACACACTTGAATAACTGAATACTTGAACACTTGAATTATTTTTTTATTACATTGACTGACATTGTATTGAGTACTAGCTGTGCCCAAGACTACGTCCGCGTGAAATAGTGATTCACAGCTCCTCCTCCGTAGGTGATAACGTGATAATATGTAGCCTATATGTTGACCCGACCTATTAGTAATTTTCAAGCAAAATTCAAAGTAAATCCATGTAGTACTTTTTGAGTTTATCCCAGACATATACATACAGACAAACAAACAAAAATTCTAAAAACCATATTTTTAGCTTCGATAGCACTTGCAGATCACGCATTCTTTTAAAAAATATTCAATGTACAGTTTTCACTTTCCTACGATTTTATTATATGTATGGATATACATTGAGGAAACCTGGGCTTATAATTATAAGTTTGCAATCGCCAACCCGCATTGAGCAAGCGTGGTGATTAATGCTCAAACCTTCTCCGTGTGAAAAGAGGCTTTGCTCAGCAGTGGGCATTATAGGCTGTTGATGATGATGATGATGATGATGATGATGATGATGATGATGATGATGATGGATATAGATGTTAGTGTAGTATTTTGACACACATAACCTCACGCCTTTTATCCTCGAAGGGGTAGGCAGAGGTGCACATTATGGCACTGTACAATGTAACACCTACTTTTCACTATTTATGTTATGAGTCCCATGTAATGCGGGTCGAGCCTATTGCCACATACCGGGCACAATTCCAGGATCCGTGCTACTATTGAGATTTTTTTTAAAACCCCATTATTACTTTGCCCGACCCGGCTATCGAACCCGATCACACGACCAACGAGGCAGTCTAGTAGAATCTAGTATGATAATAACGACTATGACGATGATCCCACATACCTTCTAAGGGTAGACGCAGCCGACTCAGCCTTGCTAACATTCTCATCTTGTTCAAAATGCAGTACTTGCCGATGTATATTCGTCAATTCCACTACATCATAATCTATTATGCCGATTTCACCTGTAAAACCATAAATATGAATCACTACATATTTTTTTATGTCATAAGCCGGTAAACGAGCAGACGGATCACCTGATGGTAAGCAATCGGTGTCGCGCCCATGGACACATGGAATGGAACACCAGAGGCGTTACAAGTGCGTTACCGGCCTTTTGGGGATTAGGAGTTTGAGGATCGTTGGGGTTTCAGGGGTAGGGGAGATTGGGGAGGGGAGGGTAATTGGGCCTCCGGTAACCTCACTCACACAACGCAAGCGTTGCTTCACGTCGGTTTTCTGCTCGGCCGTGGTATCACTCCGGTCGAGCCGGCCGATTCGTGCCGAAGCATGGCTCTCCCAGACAGTCGTATAAATTTTTTTTTAAGAAAACGTTGCCCCACACTTGTATTTTCTCCTGTGTCGTGGGTGCGTTTACAAACATACAAGTTCACATACACAATGACACCCAGACCTGAAACAACAATTTGTGGATCACACAAAGTGTTGTTCCGTGCGGGAATCGAACCCGCGACACGTTGCACGGCAGCCGGTTGCCCAGCCACCGCACCAACCGTGCAGTCAAACTAATATTTTCTAACTTACCAACTCCAGCGGCGGCTAGGTACATAGCCGATGGACATCCTAAGCCCCCAGCGCCTACAATCAGCACCTTGGCTTCACAGATCCTCGTCTGACCAAAAACTCCTATATCTTTTAACAGGATCTGTCTACTGTACCTGCAAAATTATGATTTTACATTATTCTACTTATTATAATATACTAGGTTCTGCCCGCGACTTCGTACGCGCAATCCCGTTTCTACCGTTCCCGTAGGATATTCAGAACTTTTTTCTGTCATAAAAACCTTCTTCTGACGATAACAACCACAACAAAAAAAATCAGCCAAATCGGTCAAGCCGTTCTCAAGTTATGGCGTGACAACGAGAAACGGGTTTCATTTAAATATATATATACTAGCGGACCCAACAGACGTTGTCCTGCATATCCACTTGAATGTATAAACAAAAATTCAATCAAACTAGTTCAGTTGTTTAGGATCAATAACCTAAATAATTTCGTAGAAGGCTGAAAATTGAGGATTGTATGTATTTTTGTATGTTGTATCATAAAGAAATAGAAATTAAAAATATTGTTTAAAAAATAAAAGAAAATTTAGGGTTGGACTAACCCTAACATTTAGGGGGATGAAAAATAGATGTTGGCCGATTCTCAAAGATACCGGATAAGCACAAAAAATCATCAAAATCGGTCAAGCCGTTTCGGAGGAGTATGGCAACGAAAACTGTGACAAAAAATTTTTATATATTAGATATCTAGCCCCACTCGGGCGGGAGAAGTCATTGGATGAATTTCCCCCTCGCATAAAAAACCTCTCTATACCCTACACTGGTCTATAGGTGCTCTCTCACCGGGAGCATTCACGTGTAGGTAATGTAACATTATAGATTCGACTTTGAGCATTACATTACAATAATACCTCCCTGACTAACGAGCATTTGCGTGTAATGTAACATATAGATTCGACTTTGAGCATTACATTACAATAATACCTCCCTGACTAACGAGCATTTGCGTGTAATGTAACATATAGATTCGACTTTGAGCATTACATTACAATAATACCTCCCTGACTAACGAGCATTTGCGTGTAATGTAACATATAGATTCGACTTTGAGCATTACATTACAATAATACCTGCCTGACTAACGAGCATTTGCGTGTAATGTAACATATTGATTCAACTTTGAGCATTACATTACAATAATACCTCCTAGACTAATGAGCATTTGCGTGTAATGTAACATATAGATTCGACTTTGAGCATTACATTACAATAATACCTCCCTGACTAACGAGCTTTTGCGTGTAATGTAACATTTGAGCGACGACGAGCATTTCGTAGCAAGATGTCAGACGAAGCGGGCGGGCCCCGCCCGCTTCGTCTGACGATGTCGCATCGTTCGCTTGGGCTGGGGGAAGTGGAGCGCATTGATGTTACAAGTTGTATCAAGATATTACACATTGTATCATTACAAGGTGCGCATTGTAATGCTCGGTTCTCCTCCTTCACTGATGTAATGCTCAGATCTGTAACGTTACACTACACGCGAATGCTCTCGGTGAGGAAGCATCCTATGGGTGCTATAGCACCATTTAAAAGAAATTCAAACAAAGCAAAGTAAACCTTACTCCTAGTAAAAATAAAAGCTCTATTAGCATATCTTATCTATTTGGGCAAACCACACTGGTCTGCGGGCTCTAAAGTTTCATTTAAAAATAACTAGCGACCTGCCCCGGCTTTGCACGGTTGATATGCATGTATTATACATATAAACCTTCCTTAAGAATGACTCTATCTATTAAAAAAACCGCATCAAATCCGTTTCGTAGTTTTAAAGAACTAAGCATACATAGGCACAGACAGACGGCGCATAGCGACTTTGTTTTATACTATGTAGTGATAATGAATTTCAAAGCAAAATACACCCTATTCTCAGTAACAATAGAAGCAATATTATCATAGCTAACCTCTCTATAGCCCATTTGGGCAGTGAACCGCACTGGACTCCACCAGCCTCTGTAGCGCTGGTATTTAATGGACCTTGGCCTGGGATCCAAGCTCTGAAGTCTCCTTGACCCTGGAATAGAAATCGGCATTATTTATTATTTTATTCTCTTTCAGGGAATAAAAAGCGTGATGTTATTAAATGTATGTATGTAGTGTAGTATATTAAACAATCCTACCTTACTTCTGAAAATTGTGTTAAATATTTTAAATCTATAATTATAATAAAAGAAAGTCGTGTTAGTTACACCACTTATAACTCAAGAATGGCAGAATAGATTTGGCTGAAAATTGGTAGGGAGGTAGCTTAGAGCCAGGAGATCGACATAGGATACTTTTTAACCAAAATTTTATTTTTTTTACTTTTTACCGAAAATAACGAACGGAGACGGGAAAAAATAGGATTACGCGTACGAATTCGCGGGCAGAAGCTAGTATACCATAATTAAGTTGTCTTACCATTAATATATTTTTAGAGCTACTATCGCTTTTGACACAGGAATATTCCTAGTATAGGCATATTATGTTTTTATAATAACTATCGTGAGACATACTAAATTAACTAAAAATCGCGGGTTACTCATGTGAATATACTGAGAAAAGCTCTACTAGTTTCGAACACTCTATACAATAATAAACACACATATTATCAATACTTTGCCAGATCCAGGAATCGAACCCAAGACCTCTTACCCGACAGTGACATTCGACCATTCGGCCAACGAGGTATTCAGTTAAAAGTTTTATGAAATAGAACATCTAAATAAATTCAGCTTTTACTTATATAGCCTTTAACGTAAAGTGGTTATTTAAAAAAGTATAATAGCAGTAACCAGTTTTTTCAAATATGCAAAATTAAACAATCAAATAGAATTTGAACAGGTGATGACTCGAATATTTAATTAACAAACCAATCAGACAATCGTAAAAATTTAAGTTACCGGCGTTATTTAATGCGAAAGTAATACGAAGTCAATATTCAGATTTTCTTTACAAAATGAGAAATATTTATACATAATACGCTAAAATAGTACGTTTTACATCATACAGATCGAGGATATTACACAAATACACGTAGAAATCATATAATTAAGTCAGAATGTAAAAAATATACTTACGCCAAACAACTCGCGTCGAATTATAGTCATTTCTTCCTCTTTTTCCCTTAATTTTTGCCGTAATTCTTTGATTTCTTTCTCTAGTATATATAACTGCTCCATTTTTAACTATATAAAAACTGTTTACTTATGAAACTTATGAAAAAATACGTGTAAAATTGTAATATATATGTAAAAATATGATTTTCTTTCAGAAAACAAACAATATGTGTTCCAGTTCCAGATACAAACAAAACTTTGAAAACGTCATGAGAATGAGATAGCTACATCACTTTCTCAAGGTGTGAATGAAACAACGACCTGCAGCAATGCTTACTTTACGGATTATGTTAAATGCAACGCGCTGGCCAAACTGACGTTTCTAGTGAGGAGCAACAGGTGGGTAGGATTAATCGATAAATTATAAAATTACCGGTTATAGTTAGAAGCAAATAAAACATAAAAGTTTCTGAGCTATAAAAGGTGTCAGACGAAGCAAATGTTTTTTTTTTGTTTTCTGAATAGCATGAAAGTTTCTTTATCATCAAATTCAGTCTATTACCGTATGGACAATGTATCTATTCTATACTAGCTGATGCCCGCGCCTTCGCTCACATGCATTACGCACTCAAATAATCTACGAAATTTCAACTCCTATTTTTTAAAGTTGTGCGTTTCTAGATATTTTACTCCAACCATAATGCAAGTCATATAATCCTACGTCCAAACTTCTTTACTCCATTGAGTACAAGGAACTTATATAAATAACATTTCCAGAACTCCTGTAGAACTTTCATTCTTTTAGAAAAATGTCGTTCTCTTAAATTTTTAAAGCTAACTCCGCTCCTTGTAATTTGTAGCGATAAGATATTTAGTGAATACCAAGGAAAATGTCTAAAACACTTATTGTTAATTTTTGGAAATTATTTGCGCAACTTTGTCCGCTTAGAATTTTTTCATTTCTGGACAGTACTTTTTCCGCTATGTTTTATTCCATTATCCCATTTTACAGACGCGATATTTGTACTGTTTTATTTTATCATATGTATAGGTATACACTAGCTGTTGCCCGCGACTTCGTCCCCGTAGAATATGAATTTAAGAATATAACTTTTTTGTTTCAATTTTCTAAAATAAAAGTAACCTGTGTTATTCCTTAGTACATCAGTTACCTGCCAATAAAAGTCCCGTCAAAATCGGTCCACTCATTCCAGCAATTAGTACAAACAGACAGACAGACAAAAATTGAAAAAAATGTTATTTTGGTATATGGATAGTATGTATATTATATTCATATGCATGTAGTAAAAAACGGTTATTTTAATATCACAAAAAGGCACTCCTATTTTATTTATCTGTATGTATGTGTGTTTAGATATGGCTGCGTTGTCAAGTTTTACGTTTTACGCATATTTAACTGCCGAAGACCGTCAAGTAAAACGTTAAATTAACTTGACATAGGAGACTGAAATAATAAACAAGATAATAGAATAAAATATGTATAATTAAAATGAGATACAAAATATTTCATACCTTTGTAAAAAATTTTGCTTAGCTACTAGAATAATAACACATAATTGTAGATTTAAATATAACAAAATAATCAGTGAATCTTACAAAAGTAATAAAAAGTTATAAATTAATTCGTCGAGTAACGTATTTATAGACAGAATTAAAGAACAATAGGTTGCGGTCACCGGTGACCGCTTGGTGTTTGACAGTTTAATTATGTAGTACGGCTTACTCACTTAAAGGTTCTAGGTAACTCGACTAGTTACAAGCCAGTCAAGGATTCATACACAGCTAGGGTAGCTACTTAGCTAGCCAACGAAAGCAACCTAAGAAAAATGAGCCAATTGGAAACAATCAATCTGTTATCCTTGGCTACAACATTGAAATGGTGTCAATACAATTTATTTTTGAAAATTATACTTCATAAGAATAAAAAGCTTGTAAAAAGCATCAACTCCGTTTATATCCGTTTTTATTTCAGGGTTAACCGCTGCTGATTTTTTATTTATGGCGCCATTTGTCTTAGGTTGCTTTGGCCATGTGGTGTGATGTCTATTCTTACTTACCTAAAGTCTGTTAAGCGATTCTAGTCCCATGAAAAAGGCGGCAAATTCAAAAATCTTTCAGGTGTCAACACTGATATAGCACGCTGAAAACTTATTGATTGTTTTTTATCAAAAACTAGCTTCTGCCCGCGACTTCGTACGCGCAATCCCATTTTCCCCCCGTTCCCGTTCGTGACTTTCGGTAAAAAGTAAAAAAAAGTATTCTATAAAAAGTATCCTATGTCCGTTTCCTGGTTCTAAGCTACCTCCCTGCCAATTTTCATCTAAATCGATTGAGGCGTTCTTGATTTATAAATAGTGTAACTAACACGACTTTCTTTTATATATATAGATTCAAGTATCAATAAGTATCAGCGTGCTATATCAGTGTTGACACCTGACAGATTTTTAATTTGCCGCCTTTTTCGTGAGACTAGACTCGCTTGACAGACTAAGTATATAAGCATTATTTTACGCAATAGATGTATGCCAGTATAAAGTGTGTACTTAATCTTATTTTTATAAACAGTATACACTCAGCAGTCGTGTCTTAATACAACGCCCTCCCTACAGACTTTAGGCTGTAGGTAAAGGTAAAAGCGAAAAAAAAATATCAAAGAAAAGATGTTTACTAGGTTTACTAGTTGAAATTTGAAAGATTTTTTTTTTCTGAAGTCTCTATTGTGGAGGCCCCCTGCTTGTGGAGACCCCGGGGCTTTCGCCCCGGTTGCCCCCCCCCTAAATCCGGCCCTGCCTACAGCCAAACTCTAAGATACGCAAAATGTAGATAGGTACAATATAATTAACTTAACATGTTTATACATATCTCACACATATGCACACAAAGTCTGCATACATACTTGCATTACATAAAAACTAGGAACTTTTATCGCAGATCACAATAATCGATCTTTAGTTTTTCTAAAAGAACGTGTGTCGCCTGGACAGTCACCGCTACCATCAGTTCACTGGACAATCTCTTTACATGAGCTGCTGTTTACATGTGAACATTAGCTCATGACGATACCTAAGTACGTGTGTCGCTTGGACAGTCACCGCTGCCATCAGTTCACTGGACAATCTCTTTACATGAGCTGTTGTTTACATGTGAACATTAGCTCATGACGATACCTAAGTACGTGTGTCGCTTGGACAGTCACCGCTGCCATCAGTTGAATGGACAATCTCTTTATATGAGCTGCTGTTTACATGAGAACATTAGCTCATGACGATACCTAAGTACGTGTGTCGCTTGGACAGTCACCGCTGCCATCAGTTGACTGGACAGGTACAAAATAACAAACATTCTCTAGAAATACCATAGGATAGCTTATTGCGATCTGTACTAAATAGTAAAATTTCGATAAAAGTATTTATCATAACATAATAATTATCATGCTAATTAATCCCCAAAGGGATTGGCACATACTCAATTATAAAATACGCCACTTTGTGACAATTAATTATAACTTAGGCCCGGCCTTCACCACATTAGGTTATGTTTTCGTTAACTAACAGATAACTTAACATGTCCTTTGTACGTAACAATCATGTCTAATATGCATCAGTTATGATAATAGAAGTGTGCGAGATCCATGTTTCGGCACGAATAGGTCGGCTCGACCGGAGTTATACCACGACCTCACAGAAAACTGACGTGAAGCAACGCATGCGTTGTGTTTCGTCATGTGAGGGAGGTTACCGGAGGCCCAGTTACCCCCCCCCCTTCCCAATCTCTCCATTCCATGAATCTCCAACAATTCTCAAACTCCTAATCCCCAAAAGCCCGGTAACGCACTTATAACGCCTCTGGCGTTCCAGCAGCTGTAGCCAAATGGCATTTAGCGCAATTGTCTACACGTAGAATAGAAAACCAAATTATATGGAATTGACGTAAATTTTGGCACTTGTCAGTGTCATCCCCATACATTTAGTTTTCTACTCTCTCTGTAGACAAGCGCTAAAGTGGCTTTTGGCCAAGGGCACAGGTGTTCTTGGGCGACGCCGATAGAAACTTAAAATATAGTGGTAAAATATATTCTGACAGTATAATTAAATTAAACTATACAATAACAAACGAACATGAAATAATTAATGCATTAAACTGTCAAACACCAAGCGGTCACCGGTGACCGCGACCTATTGTTCTTTAATTGTGTCTATAAAACCGGTACTCGACGAGTTAAATAGATCCGCTGTATATTTATGCTGCTGCTTAAGTATACAGGTTCCTATATAATACCGAGTGTCAGGTATAAGAATAACGTATGTGTTTACAATCATAATTTCATCCCAGTCTTTGGTTATCAACATTGAGATTATAGTAAGCGTAATTATTATTATAAACATATACCTACATGGATAATGTCAAACCTTCAGTTCCTCGAAAAAGTAGCCAAAGCTAAACCCTTTGAGTACCGTCGTTATAGACACAATTAAAGAACAATAGGTCGCGGTCACCGGTGTCCTCGCGGTGTTTGACAGTTTCATAAATACAAAGAGTAACGAATGGTATTTATTGCTCGTTCTTCTCCATTCGAATCTACATTTTGGAACGAGCACCTAGCTTCACTGACGGACAGACCGATAGACTATTATTTATTTTGTATTTATTGACGTTGCAAATGTACCAAATAATGGTTTAATTCAAATAAATGTTTTGACTTTGATCAAGATATATCATATCCAAAGTGAACCTAAACTATATCATTCATTCAGTTTCATCAAATAGGTACTAAAACTAAACAATAATTATGTATATCAACGAACACCAATCAGTCCATATTTTAATTGAAGTTTCGACTTTATAACAAAGACAATAAAATTAATAAAGGAATTGTAACAGAACGGAGTACATTGACTTGTTGTTTACTGTACTAATGTTAGTATACAATTATTTCCAGGGTTGGCAGTCCATGTTAAAATTCAGTCGGTGAGATGTGAATTTCTTTAATCGATTTTCAACATTATTAACGTAACATAAAATCACGCCTTTTTGTCCCCGAAGGGGTAGGCAGAGGTGCACATTTCGGCACTTAATGCCACTATACAATGTAACACCCACTTTTCGCTATTTATGTTATTAGTCCGATGTACTAGGGGGTGAGCCTATTGCCATATACCAGGCACATTTTCAGACTCCGTGCTACTACTGAGATTTTTAAAAACCAAGTAATACTTTGCCCGTCCCGGGAATCGAATCCGAGACCCTTGTCCGGCAGTCGCACTTGCGACCACTCGGCCAACGAGGCAGTCATAAATTATCTTTTTGCAATAAATTTGTAAATCTATAAATGGAACTTCCAACGTACTGACCAATTGTTGCGGACTGCCAGCCCTATTATGTAAAAAAAGTGGCGTTTATAAATGCATGAAAAATACGTTTTTAAAATACAAACTATAATTTAAAACGGTTATCTCCAAAACAGGGATAACGACAGTAAGAAATACACTCATATTATTATGTATTTCGGCTAATTGCCTAACGAGAAACTCGACTAGTTTCAAACCATATATGTAACAGTTACAGCGCGACAGCCGCCGCGTAGTGTGTCGTAGAATGCCGCTCATGAATGTGAGCCTCTAGTATGGCTTGAAACTAGTCGAGTTCCTCGTCAAACAGTTACGTGAGTAAGCCGAAAAACATAATAATTAACGGAAAATAATAATGGTTCCGAAAAACAAATTAATCTCCAGCGATCTGTGGCCGACTATAAAAATGGATCTTCAAATAACAAAACTAAACTTCCGAATAGAATATTGAACCTCCGACAAAATTACTAAGTTACCGACAACAGACGTTTTAGGTTAGGTTAGTATTGTAGCAATAAACAGTCATATAAAGTAGTCGGAAAGTTAGTATTTTAGGCAGTAGATTTAATATTTTCAATAAGGACAATTCTTCTTTTCTCGGAGCTTTTATTACTACCCATAATTAAGTTATTATAAGTCACTGTATTATTAGAACCTATAAATTAGGCACTAAGATAAAGCGCATCAAATTATCATGGTTCAGTATTCAATGGAGGATACTGAGAGGCAACATCGTCTAGTAATTATTAGTTACTAGCGACCTGCCCCGACTTCGCACGATTGTAATATTCATGTATTATACATATAAACCTTCTATAAGAATCCATCTATCTATTAAAACAACCGCATCAAAACCTGTTGCATAGTTTTAAAGATCTAAGCATACATAGCGACAGACAGACGACGGATAGCGACTTTGTTTTATACTATGTAGTGATAGTGATTTTGACTGCACGTTTGGTGCAGTAGAAGGGCAACAGGGAGCCGCGCAACGTGTAGTAGGTTCGGTTAGGAGCAACTATTAAAGTGGGCCACAAATCATTTTTCCGGGTCTGTGTGTCATGTGTATGTGAACTTGTATGTTTGTAAACGCACCCACGACACAGGACAAATTTAAAGTTGGTAATGTTTAAAAAATAGGTAATCGTATCGTCATACTGCTGCCGAATTGCTTATGTAAAAAAAAACAGGCTGGACTTACCCGAGAGGAAAAAGTCGTCATTACATTGGATATGCAGAGGTGCACATTACGGTACTTAATGCCACTATAGAATGTAACACCCACGTTTCACTATTTTATGTTATGAGTCCAATGTAATAGGGGGTGAGCCTATCGCCAGATACCGGGCACAATTCCAGACCCCGTGTAATTACTGAGAATTTTTTTTTAACTCCCAGTAATGCTTTGCCCGACCTGGGAATCGGACCCGGCAGTCGAACTTGCTACCACTCGGCCAATAAGTGCCGTAATGTGCACCTCTGCCTACCCCTTCGGGGATAAAAGACGTGAACTCATTATCATAGTTTTTCTTTCATTCTCAGCTTTCAACTTTTCTAACCTTTCAAGCACTATAATTCCCTTTTACGATGAATTGGCTCAGCATTTGACCCGTTTTGAAAGCTTTTAGCCTTTCCTTATTGCAATCTTCCATTAGAACTACGGGATTTAATTCACCAAAAGCGTTATCAGTAGATTTTTTAGCGTTAGAGTTGTCGGTTTTCGTCGGTTTACTGCAATTCCAAGATTGCCCTACCGTTGCATAGACAGCGCTGTGATTATTTGTTTTACTAGCGCACATTTGAGGTTCCTTGTCGGTACCTTTAACTGTTTTAATCAACTGCAAACCTTGAACCAAATGATTTTGATGATTTTTGTTATTCATCGCAATGTTCAATGTCTTTTTCACTGGTTCTGGCTGATACTTGGCAGTCACTGGCAGATAATTTTGTTTTGTTTTGATGTCCTTAACTTCTTTCGGCGGGCTACATTCGGATTTCGGTGCAGTGCCAGCGTCTAAGATCAATTTCCTTTTTTGATTACTTTTTTCATCTAACTCTGACAGTTTCGCGTTCATTCGCGCCATTATTTGTGGTAAGACAACAGATTTTTCGTAAAAATCTGGCCCTTTTGTATAATTTGCTATTAAATGCTCGGGTTTTTGTAATCGTTTCTTTCTATACATTTTTTCATCTTTTTGCATAGCTTTTACAACGAAATCTGTTGAATAAACTCTATTTTGTCTTTCAAGATTTTTCTTAAAGAGTCTCTCCGATGTTCTCTTAGTATTAATGCCTGCAGTTTGAGCTACATTCTTAATGTCACTATTATCCAATTTAACGCCTTTGCTGACACTATTTTCCGAGCGATGAGAAAATTCAGGAATCAAATCTGGAGTCTTAATTATTTTTGGTTTTTTAACATCAATTTCGGGCATACGGGCATTACGGTCGATTTTTGTTTGATATTTATGCGAATCATTAAAATCTATTTTTTCCATTTTTTTATTAGTTAGTATTTCGTGTATTAATTCTTCGGGGTCCGATTCCGACTCACTTAGATTCACTTTAGGTACCAAAACCTTCGGTTTTTTCTGAATAAAATTATGTTTTAACACAGATTTTTCCTTCGTTGAAATATTAGTCCAGTCAATCTTTTGTCCAGATTCCAACATATCCAGAAACTCGTTGAAACCTGGATCAACAGTTTTGCTATCCGAAAATGTAGCACCAACGTCTTCGTATGTTTCTTTCTTCTTAATATGCTGTGGTGTAACGAAAATGTTTTGAAATAAATCTACTAAATTAAATTCCTTATTATTATCCAATAACCAGGCATTATTATCCGCATCTTGGAATCCGGAGTCTCGAGAAGAGTCATCGATATCGATTAATTTATCCACCTTAGCCGCATCACTAAATACGTCATTTTTTTCCGGTTCCAAAATGTCGTAAACGTTGAAATTTTTCAGTAAATTAGGAGATATAGTTACTGTAGCTACTTTTTCTTTTTCTTTTGATGTTGAATTCTGCATTGTTGTTTTTTATCTGTAAAAAAAAATAACATAATTATTCTTTCTACGTCTTGTTTCATTTTCCTCACTGGCCTAGTGCTAGTGGGTTGCAAAGTGTCATTATTGCGTAAGATGTCTCGGGTTAGGGGGCGTCGATAAATTACGTGAGGCGTTTTTTTAATTATCTGTCCCTCCCTCCCCCCTTGGTGAGATTTCGTGAGATTTTATTCAATACCCTCCCTCATGCCCCAATCTCACGTGAGATTTTTCAAAATGTTGGTTTTTCCCGTTGGATTGTTATTGCAAAAAGAAAAAAAATCCATGTGCATATACAATTTAATCTTAAGCATGTACAATCTGGACCTATGAAGTTAGTAAAAATAGTATAATTTGTTTTGTTTCTATCAGAATAAAAATTACGTGATATTTGCCGAGACCCCACTCTCTCCAACGTAAGATTAGATGAGATTTGAGTCTACCCCCTCCCCCCTTAAACATCTCACGTAATTTATGGACGCCCCCTTACGGGTTCGATTTCGGGGTCGGGCAAAGCCTAATTGGGATGTTCACCTTTCGGTAACATGGAGTCTGGAATAGTGGCTGGTGTATGGCAAAAGCCACCGCTAATTATCAGGGCCCCACAACATAATACCTAAAAAGTCGGTGTTTGTATCGTATTGTATAATACCTACATCTGCAAATCTGTCTACCCCTTCGGAGTATAAAGGCGTGACGTTATAATTTTGATTAAAACTACAATGTCCTATCAATTATAGGAAACTTGATAACATAGTCTTATCAATAACACATTCAACGATAAGAGAATTAGATTTCGAGATCACTATTAAATTCATGTCATGTTTGGGCCGCAACTTGAGTCTTTAACAATTATTAATATTACATTGAACGCCACTTTATTTATTTTATACATTATTGCACACACAGAAGATTTAGTTTACATTGTAATAGTAATATGATTACAATGGGCGGTCTTATCACACGCGGCGATTTCTTCCAGACAACCTTTGGATGGAATTTTGGAACTTTTTTTTATGGCATAAGATGGTAAACGAGCAAACGGGTCATCTGATGGTAAGCAATCGGCGCCGCCCATGGACACTCGGAACACCAACGCGTTACAAGTGCGTTACCGGCCTTTTGGGAATTGGGAATTTGAGGATTGTGGAGGATTCGGGAACTATGGACGGGGACTAAGGTAATTGGGCCCCCGGTAACCTCACTCACACGACGAAACACAACGCAAGCGTTGCATCACGTCGGTTTGCTGTGAGGCCGTGGTATCACTCAGGTCGAGCCGGCCCATCCCATTCGTGCCGAAGCATAGCTCTCCCACACTTGAATTTTATATTGTAATAGTAATTTGATTACAATGGGCGGTCTTATCACACATGGCGGTTTCTTGCAGACAACCTTTGGATGGAGTTTTTGAAAAAGAATCTGGGAATAGGTGGTAGGTGCTCAATAATATCTCGGGTGCATAGTGTGGGGACTCAGTGCCCATACAATGGCCTCAGGGAAGATGGTAGCACAGTTGTCATGTGCTGCTGTGCAAAGCGATGATCAAGAGACACGCAGGTCCCTTAGGGATCTGCTGTAACAGGTGTTGGACTGTGGGGGCTCCAGAGCACTTTAAGATTTCATTGCTTTTTCTTTTAATTCAATTTATAAAGTTTGTTAGTGAGATTTCATCCTTATACACTGTTACATGTATGAACATCACTACTTAGTAAGAAGTGGCCCCCTCACTATAATCCTTACTATAATATTATAAATCTGAAAGTGAGTTTGTTTGTTTGTTTGTTTGTTCCACTATCACGCCGTAACTACTAAACCCATTGCATTGAATTTTTGCAGACGTAAAGTTAGTAGTCTGGATTAAATAATAGGGTACTTTTTATCCCAAAAAAATGTGATATTCCCGAGGGAAAACAAAAGTATTGGTATAGATGGCGCTGTATGTATTGGTATATGTCACAGAGGCTACTTTTTATCCTTTTGTGACGCGAGTGAAGCCGCGGGTAAAAGCTAGTGTGTTATATAAGGTAGAACACTATTGATTAACGCCGCTGTCTACCTGTCATAGTCTAGTGTGTGTACACGTCGTGCGCCCTGCACATTATTGTAATAAATCCAAGTATAATAAATCCGTCTACAATTTATTAATCAACCAACTTACACTAAAGATTGATGCAATAAAAGTACAAGGTACAACTTTTATAGATTTTAGTCTGTTCAAATACCGTGGGCGGCAACCGAATTTTAAAATAGTTTGCAGGCAGTTGTTTCTTTTCAAAAATAAAGGAATGTTTTCTTAGAGTAAAATTTTCTATCTAAAGTATTAAGAGTATCCCTGCATAATGTCTTTTCATGCATACTCTTTGGTTAAGAGTAACTTTATTTAACCATGTTTTAATTTAACCTCATATATCCCCAAGCGGTCACCGGTGACCGCTCTTCACTAACTACATTATAGACCTTATTTCCAATGTTTAGAGACTACTTTTGTATGAACAAATTTAGCGGATGATTTTCACAGTTTTCAGCGGGTTAAAAAAATAATAGACTCTTACAATTGTATAAAATTTGACACAGCGATACACCATGTTTACAATTCGAGTACCGTCATTATAGATACAATTAAAGAACAATAGGTTGCGGTCACCGGTCTCCTCGCGGTGTTTGACAGTTTAAGGACTATTAAGGTTTTTTTTCTATTTATACATATTTATTAGAAATGTAAGTATAACGCCTTGGTTTTATGACTGTAATGTTAAACTATTTTAATTGAAATAAATAAATACACTACAGACGGTCTAGACTATCACAGGCTACCCTTTACTCAAATACCCTGGTGATATACAAATGTCGCCGACATACACATTCTAGAATGACACCGAAGTACGAAAGACCTTTTTAATAACTTACTCATAAAACAAAGAGACTACATTTATTAATAAGTAATTCCTTCGTTACCTAACTAAAACAATTCTTGTAAATATTATATTATAATTGTGTCTGGTGAATTAGTAATAGGTTCTATAAATATCAACAATCTTACCACTAGCGATTCCACACGTCAGAAACTATCTTTGACAACTTTTTCGAAGCACAATATCCTAAATTAGAATGCAACGCCCAAACTTAAATGGATTAAACGGTGATCCTAGCACTTTCAACTTATTTTAAATCAAATACAGGACAAAGACACAATTGTTATGTACTAAGAAGGTAACTACTGTTTGCAAGACAAAATTCATGCATGTAAAATTCTGCAACAAAACTGCAAAGTGCGAACTTTTCAAAGATTTCGCGTACTGTCAAAGACCCGGCGTAATTATTTTTAGGCCTAAAGCATGTTACACACCGTAGTTTAAAAGATTAAGAGCTTGTAAAATCATTGAAAGTTTGACTGCTTTACTGTCTTCGCTTTTTTAAATCATTTAAATGTAACTTTTGTATTCTTTGATATATACATTTACCCCCGACAGGTAAACCACACATTGGATCGGCAATAATCCTGCAGTTAAATGTTATTTTGAAGTTTGTTTTTAAGAAAAGATTAGAATTTTTTATGAGAATCACGAGTATTTTTTGTTAAAGATAGGTTGGCATCTCATTTTGTTTTTTGCTAATAAGACGAATGTGTATAACTATCATAATATCGGGGAAGTCCGGTTAAATCTTATTGTTTATAATCTGTGGGTTTAGGGTTCTTAACCGAAAAATATGTTTGCATAAATGGTAGCTTTATAACGTAATGTAGCACAATCACGTCTTTGTGTTCTTTCTGTTAAAGATAATGAGGTCAAGTGATAAGCATTTAGTACAGTTATGATAACTAACATTACTTAAATATATTGTTATAATCTATTTTTAGAAAATTATCAGTGTTAGATAAATACCAATAACTAAAAGAAACTTATAAAAAGTTTTGTTGCATCATTAAATTATTTATATTGTCTGAAATTATTTGCATGTATTCGATTTAGTACACAATTATTCGTGAAACATTTAAATTTAAGAACTAACTCGTTCGTATGTTAAATAATATAATTCTATATAATTTTGTTCTTATTCTTTTATAATTTTATTATCAAGGAGTAACCGTGTAACTTATTTCAATATTAAAATAGTACATATTTGAATTATAAATCAGCAACACTAAAACTTTGGCTTTGCCGTGCCAAAACTTTGACACTGACTTTCAAATTGACGTTAATAAAGAATTCGCTTCTCGTTTTTGCGAACTCCGGCTGACTCCGGCGGCGAAGCTATCGTAAAATATTGTTTGTTTAACAGAAAAACGATAAAATTTGTATTCATGACGAATTATATGGTTACTATTTACTACCAATACATTTATGGCGGTTAAATACCGGCCGCTTTAGCCTACAACTTGTGTTTTGAAGCGGAAATGTGACTCGAATTATGTTTAGTTTTTCTAAGATCATATTTCGGATTTCCAACAGCTATTTCTTTGATTGTTTCGTGAGAAACGGGGTGTCGTGTTCGTGTTTTACCGGATAGTCGTTGCTACGTGCGTGAGACGTAAGTATTTCATCAGTTTTTATTATCTATTGTTGCGATGTGCAACCGATGCAATTTCATTCTTTTGTGGTTGCTATAATGAATTTTCAAGTAATTTGGTTATTTATTGGTCATTATTACGACTTCCTTGAACTATCATATCCTTTTGAGGCTAGAATTGAGCAAAGGGGTATTGCATTTATCGATTTTGAAATGACTTAATTAGAATATTGTACTCAGTGATCAGTTAGAGCATTGTAAACTATTATAATGGGGTCAATAACACAGTAAATATGCTTAAACGGAGTTACTGGCATAGGTTTATAAAATATAAAAGCTATAAAAGCTTCATCTCTACTACCTCCCTTAACTAATTGTTATGAGTCCTTTGTCAATATGAGAAGACATTATTCCTTACTCCATGTTACTTAAATAATGTCCAAAATACCTCTTTGCATGTCCCAGGAATCGAATCTGAGACCAGTTGTACAACAGTCACAGTACCAACAAAGCTTTGCATGGCCCAGGAATCCAACTCAAGACAGGTCAAGCATTCAGAATTGTGCCTACTTTACCAATAAGACCTTTTCAATATTAATATTTTTTACTTAAAATCTGATAGACTTTAACCCGTTGAAATTCATCCCCTAAATTTATTCATAGAAAAGTACACTATAAGCATTGGAAATAAGGTCTGTAATGTAGTTAGTGGAGAGCGGTCACCGGTGACTGCTTGGGGATATATGGGTTAAGTAAAAAACAAATATAAGCTTTTTCTGCATTCTAAGCAGTTTTATTTTGCTTGCCCGGTTTTTTTGTTTGGGGCAAATTTACTAATTGGAATATTACCCCTTTCCTACCGATGGATTGATCTGATATTTGATACATACTCTTGTCTGTCAAACACCGCACGGTCACTGGTGACCGCAACCTATTGTTCTTTAATTGTGTCTATAATGACAGTACTCAAAGAGTTATTCTTGATGACCATACGATATAATCTAACTTTTTCCACAACTACCTCCATTATGGATATCAAACGAAAGGGCTTGATTGGTAGAATAGAGCTCACTAACCCGTATATCCGGTGTACACCGGTGACCGCTCTCCACTAACTACATTACAGACCTTATTTCCAATGCTTAGAGACTACTTTTGTATGAACAAATTTAAAGGATGATTTTCCACAATATTCAACAGGCTAGAACAGTTAAGTGTTATTTTTTTCTGTATTTCTTGATTGCTTGACTGTTCAATTCCCTAGGGGTCACCGTGACCTCTCTCTGCTAACTCCATTATAGACCTTATTTCTGATGTTTACAGACTACTTTTGTATGAACAAATTTTCAGTACGGTATACGCCAATGTGATGTTCACTGATTTGAATATGGAAATCTAAATATATATAAAAGAAAGTCGTGTTAGTTACACCACTTATAACTCAAGAACGGTAGTATAGATTTGGTTGAAAATTGGTAGGGAGGTAGCTTAGAGCCAGGAGACCGACATAGGATACTTTTTAACCAAATTATTTTTTTTTTTACTTTTTACCGAAAATCACGAACGGGGACGGGAAAAAATGGGATTACGCGTACGAAGTCGCGGGCAGAAGCTAGTTTATAATAAAACAAGTTTGTTTATAGGAAGTGTGTGGTGCGACACCGTTGACCTGTGACTAAATTTATTGTTTATATATATACTAGCTTTTGCCAGCGGCTTCGCTCGCGTCACAAAAGGATAAAAAGTAGCCTATGTGATATATACCAATACACACAGCGCCATCTATACCAATAGTTTTGTTTTCCCTCGGGAATATCAATTTTTTCCGGGATAAAAAGTACGCTATTATTTAATCCGGACTTAACTTTACGTCTGCTAAAATTCAAAGCAATCGGTTTAGTAGTTACGGCGTGAAAGCGGAACAAACAAACAAACTCACTTTCCGATTTATAATATAAGTAAGGATAAGGATATATCACATCCCTTATCAACATATTAAAGCTGCAGTATTACCATAATATATTTACCTATTATTATACAGGTGATGATGATGGACGCCTGCTGTTCCCGCTTCACGGCGGCGGAGGGCGGCGCCCGACTGGCCGCCGCAGCCTCCACTAAGAACATCCTCGCCGTGGAGTATGCTAGCTTCATACCTGTCCGACTACTCTATGAAAAAGCCCACCAGATCCGCGGGTAAGTCCAAGTACTATCTAAGAATTGGCGAAGATCGATGTGAAATGTTCATAAACAAGCCACAAAGGTGCGAGTACATCTGTCCGCAGCACATAGCAGTTTGTGTGCTTGTAACAAGTGAATTTATTTCTGCAAATAGGCTACAAGGCAGCACTTTTACACGTCAATTTTATCAAGCGAACGAGGAGGTCGACATTTCCTAACTGACTACTCTGAGAAGAAATGCCGAAACAAACTCAGAGGTCTGTCTCTTTTAAAGTCCAGACAAATATGTATAAAAGATTATGTGTGAGAACCGTGCAAGTTCTTTCTGTAGTGGCCTTTTGAGGAAAGAACCACAACAGTTTGAGCGGACCCGTTCTGAAGGCAGTACGCATGTGTCGGTTTACAGTCGGCTCAATTAACAGGTGAGGCTGACTGATTCGACGAACAATACCAACCTAAAGAACATTTGCGAAATATATAGTTGTGTGTATAGTTGTGTCATCACTCAGAACTGTCGGTAAATAGAGTGACGGCATTCTCCCGCACTCCCGCACTCTGTGAGTAACTATCAGAGAGAGAGCTGGAGTGTGATCACACCATAGAATTGTAATGCCAATATCCTATAAGTATCAAATAAAAATATTTGTTTGATATTTTTTCTTATTGGCCGTCAAACAAGCAGACAGATTGCCTGATGGTAAGCATACCATAAATAGTGAAAACTGGGTGTTATATTCACATTGTACAGTGGCATTAAGTGCTGTTATGTGCTCCTACCTCTTCGGGGATAAAAGGAGTGATGTTATGTATTTCTTTTTTCTCATTTCCAGGTCTCTATTTGAAGGGAGTAAGCGCTCAATATACATAACTCGAGCTTCCAGAGTACAGGTGGTAGCGTTTGAACTGAAGATACTGACAGACCTCGGCACGGTAGCAGCTCAGACGTATGATGAGGTGTATGATTGGATGGCTGACTTGGAGACTAAAGAGGTGAGTAGAATTGGGTAGTTTCCAGGGTATCAAAATTAAAAATCTAATTAGTCCGTCAGTTTGATAATGAAAAATATTAGACACGTATTTTTTTATTTTCTCGTATTAAGTTGCAATGTCTAGATAAAATGGCGCTAAGTTTAGGAGTTCGGGAGGTTGTTACGTCGTAACGTGTTACAAAATGTCTGTCGCACGCTGTGACGTCACACGGTATTTCAAATTAATATATCGTCGAAAGTATTTAATTTTGTGAGAAAAATAAATACGTGTCTAAAGTTTTAAATTAGTGTACCAAACGGACATTAAAATAAAATTTAGGAAACTACCGTATTAAAATCAAAGACCGAATTAAAGTAAGAATCATTACCTAAAAGTCGCGGGTTACTCACGTGAATATACTGAGAAAAGCTCTACTAGTTTCGAACCACAGAGGGGCTCTTCCCCATGAGCAGC